GGATAATTCAGCCATCACATGAGTTACATCGGATCGACTAATTTTACAATTTAATGGATTCGTAGAAGTAGAGAGATAATTGTTAACGCTACGAAGCATTCAATTAGTCGATTTGTTCAGAAATCCTCAACAACGTTTCAAAAGGTGTTAAAATAAAATTATTGAACTGAAATTCAAACAACTGTTTGTGGAATGTCTCTCCTAGAACTTGAAGAGTGAAATTGATCGTTTCAATAATTTCTCCTGCATGTCCGTCATTTCAAGATTTTGAGTGAGTCTGAAATAATTTTGAAGTGATGTCTCGTGATACATCAATAAATTCAGGATGACAAATCGCCAAGAAACATAATGAAATATTCAGGCAATCAAAAACTTAGCCCGTAAAACACGAAATTTCAAATCTCATAGTGCCAAACCAAAGAAAACTGAAGTAAATGCCAATATATAGCGTCTTGGTTGGGTAAAGCTACCACTTCAGGCCATTTGGTGAAAAAATCCATCACATTCATCAAGTAGGTACTTGTTGCCAGTTCTGGTCACAGAAAGAAGTCCCTGAGGTACTGCTTCAAATTTTCCCTAAGCCTTGTTTTCGAACCCTTCCTCTAGGTGCACAGGGCACAGGTCACCGCGGCCTACTGGCCGTGCTTGGAAATCTCTTGCCTCCTTCCTTTATCAATCCTTCATCGTACGGATCTGGATCCTTCTTTTGAGCTACGGTGATATCTTGCCTCGTCATGAGGTTGTGTCATCTTCGAAAGCTGTTAATGACCATACCACACCATGTACAGGTGATTTCTCACATTTGTCCGATTCCCTGAATAAGGAGCCCCTAAAGGTTGTTGCCCTTTGGGTCAGAGGAAGCCCGAAGCAATGGGAGGTAGGGGAGCTTATCTCCCTATCAGAGCTGTTTATTAAGGTGTATCTGTACGCTACCTTGTCACGTCTAGTGGAAAGTTTTTCTCCTGGTATCCTTGTCCTCCTGGCGTTGACGAAATTTACATCTGGATGTCAGGCATGGTCTTCTTGAGAGGCTAGCGGGGGTTTTGAGGTTGAGGAGTCACCAAAACCAATATATGAAATGTTCACACCATTTTATCGGGCTTACAAAACAAAGCAACGTATCTAGCTACAATATTTGACCACAAAGTTGTCTAAAAATATCTATATGGTTTCAAATGTATAAATCTCTGAAGAAGTTAGCCACTCGCGTCAGAGAAACGTCAGGAAGAAATTCCAGAAATCAATGGCTTTCAAGCCCGAAAATTAACGAAACAAAAAATGAAATTTCACACATAATATATTATCTGAATTTTCTCCAGAACATAATTTTTCAAACGTTTCAGAAAAATAGTTTATACAGAACAGTTTGACTATTTTGTAAGTCTGAAGAATTCTTCTCATTAAGTATAGTCTCGCAAATGAGTTTATGAAGATTGGTTAATAAAATTCAAATATGGTTTCATTCTGAATGTTAAAACGCTGTAGCTGAATAAATTTTACCCGTACACCTGGTAATATACTCAAATATATCCGAACAAGAGTCATAAAAAAGTTACAGTCCACTTGCGCGCTTCTTCACATTCCATTCAGGCATTCTGCTGCTCCATATTTAGAAAAGTGGCTTCCCTCCCTCATTTCGATAGCCTTCGGCAGGATTTTCACAGAATAAATGAACAATGAACTTGAGTCCACAGTTTTTTCCTCCAAAGTTATTTTTAAAAGACCAAAAACAACGTACTTTGCAAAATAATATAGTTTACAGAACGTCCTGCCTTACGTTATCGAAAATTCCAACGCCAACTAATAGAGTCCAGCACTCCTGTCACCTGCATCAGCTCTTCATCGGTTGTATGAGATAATAATTATAATAATAATGATTGTACATAAAATAATTGTAACTATTCATATTGCATTGTTTTGTTTTAATTATTTTCATTGTCTATTTTAAGGTAATGAGTCGTGTATTATAAAATGATATACTTTGTTATTTCTGAAAGTTCATAGTTTCCTTTATTTCTATTGTTAAAAAAATATATCGTCCAAGCATTTATATGTTCTATGAAAATGTTTCACGAATAATTTTACTTTGTAAATTTTAATGCAATAGTAGGTATTACTAAATATAAAATTAATTTGAGTGTTGACTTTCTATTGAAAATCCCTAACCAATTCTCCCCATATTGTTAAATCCATGTTTCAAATGTATCTAGAGAACCATAAACTCATCTCAGAGAAAAATTGTTAACTAGCAACAACTCCATCTAGTGAACAAAGCCCCAAGTGGGAAAGAAACATCCTTTTTACCAATACCTTTATATAGACTAATATACAAAGCCAATACGATTGTACCTTTGTATTTAGACTAAGGTTAGTCTATATACTAAGATTGTACCATTGTCTAAGGATTTTAAGGATTTAAAGACGTACGAGTAGTCACTGCTGTTTGTAACAGCTGGCTTGAAGATACAGAAAAAAGTGACCTGCATTATCGACACCAGAATGGCAATGAATGTGTATTTGTTGTACCTGTATTCGTGTCAATAAACTAGTTATACAATAAATAAGGAACGTGTTTGAGTTTGAATAATACATTATTCTGTTTGTTAAAATACCACAACGATATTTTACTTCGAAATATATGTTTTTTCATACGTAGGTAACTCTCCTAGATACAATCTTCTGAGACGGTTTCACTTCTGTTGAGTTGGAGTATTGGAATATGTGGTTTCTTTCCTGCTTAGGACTTTGTTCACGAGATGGGGCTGTTACTAGTTAACAATCTTTCTCTTAGACGTAGGTTTCATACATGCAGTCGAGCCGCGTTGAAGTCAATCGTATTTAAAAATTTTGCCTTTCAAAAAAATTATAATGAAAATAGTTGATGTGCACATCAGTCCATAATTCCATAGCATTTCAACCAATGGTATTTCGAAAAAGCTAATATTTTCACCCCAAGTAGAGTTCTATGTCGTTGAGAATATATGTATCTTCTGAAGATTTTATACTTTACTCTCGGTTTATGAACTGGTAATAGCCAAATTTTTCAATATTGAAACTGAACTTGTGAGACTTCAACCACAACCAATAATCGGTTTATAAACCGGTATATGAACCAATTATTGGCTATGCTAATAATGGGTTTATGAACCGGTAATAGCCAATAATCGGTTTATGACCTGGTAATAGCCAAATTTTTCAATATTGAAAATGAACCACAGCCAATAAGCGATTCATAAACCGGTGAACCAATTATTGGCTATGCTAATAATGGGTTTATGAACCGGTAATAGCCAATAATCGGTTTATGACCTGGTAATAGCCAAATTTTTCAATATTGAAAATGAACCACAGCCAATAAGCGATTCATAAACCGGTATATGAACCAATTATTGGCTATGCTAATAATCGGTTTATGCACCGGTAATAGCCAATAATGGGTCTATGAACTGGTAATACCCAATTTTTTCAATATTGAAACTGAACTTGTGAGACTTTAACCACAGCCAACAATCGATTTATACACTGGTTCATGAACCGATTATTGACTCGCCAAATTTTTCAAAATTGAAAGTGAACTTGTGAGACTTTAACCACAACCAATAATCGGTTCGTAAACCGGTATATGAACCAATTATTGGCTATGCTAATAATGGGTTTATGAACCGGTAATAGCCAATAATCGGTTTATGACCTGGTAATAGCCAAATTTTTCAATATTGAAAATGAACCACAGCCAATAAGCGATTCATAAACCGGTATATGAACCAATTATTGGCTATGCTAATAATGGGTTTATGAACCGGTAATAGCCAATAATCGGTTTATGACCTGGTAATAGCCAAATTTTTCAATATTAAAATTGAACTTGTATGACTTCAACCACAGCCAATAGTCAATTCATAAACCGGTTTATGAACCGATATGAATATTGGGTGTGCCAATATTCATCTCTCCCAACTACCTACACCGTAGGTTCTGGTAAATGCCTGCCGGAAAGCAAATACTTTTTCCGCTGATACCATACCGGACATTGAATTACATCTGACAGACGTTTATGCAATTACATACTTATGAAGATTTCAGATTTTCCAAAGCAGCACACTATTACGAATGAATAGAACGTTTGGCCTTGTATACATCCAAAACAACCACCTTTCACGATCACCAAAACTCCCATTACTCTTTTCAACACATGTTTCACAACCAAGTGGGGGTCCTCAGGAAATAAAGAAAACCAATTCCAAACTCTGAAACTGATCTCCATTCATATCTAACAGAGTCCTCTTTGACTTTCCAAAACACATCAATTATTTCGAGTAGAGATTAGCAGGAAACAACAATTTTAGATGGTTTTCCAAGACATGTTGAGAGATACTACATTTTTCTGGTCTTCAGAATTGAATATGTGCTGGGTGTTCCTTAAAACGAGTTGTAATGGTTCGCTTAGTCTGACCAATATATTTCTGTCACAGTCCTCACAGCCTGACTTTTTCAAAAGACATAGGTTCAAAGTTCATTAACATGCCGTTTGAACCAAGAGACACTGAAGGATCAGATTCTATTTTCAAAAAGGTGAACGTAAAAGTAGCCTTCAAAGATTCTTGCTTGCTTCAACAAATGCCAGGTAACCCTGAACAACAGGGATCATTAAATAAACTGTGAGGACGGTGACAAAAACTATATCGGTCAGACTAAGAGAGCCATTGAAACTCGTTTCAAAAAACACACAACATGTATCTTATTTCGAGGACCAGAAAAATCCAGTGTAATTCAACACACCTTGGCAATAAATGAAAACTGGTTGAAAATTGTTGAGATTGGAATTTTGGATGCTTTCGAAAGTCTGGCAAAGTGCGGCATTGGAACTATGAACTTTTTATAAATCACTCTGTTGAAATTAGCGACAGCTCTTACGGGAAAATTTCCCGCAAACTTCTGCCTGGAAACGTTGAAGTGTAAAGGAAAGAGGAAGACGCCAACTTGGCATTGAAGCTCTGATGATTGGGAAAAGCATTTGTTTTGGACAGTATTTCGAATATGAATAATACAGAATTGTTTTACTTCTCAAAACTACATGATAAGAATTCATCACATTGCTAATTGTTATAAACGAGGACATATAAGCCAGGGAAGAACTTGGTATGTCGTTTTATGAAGTTCTTACTCTCCCCTTGAAATCCCGTAAACAAGCACACTGAAAATGAACATCAAATCCTTGTTGCTCTCCAAAACGATCATGAAACCCGGAGACAAAACATCAACATTCCATGGAGCCAACAAAAATTGTGGGGGAGCAAAAACACAAATACCAAATTCACGCCTCCAACTTGCTCTTTACGTTGGTTGTCGGGGAGGCTCCCAGGCCAAGTTCTCCAGACTCCAACTGCTTCAACAGCCTGAACAAAGCAGCCGCTTCGCGAATCCTGCTGAACTCGATGCAAAACGCCTGCACCTCTATGAACAGCTCCTGCACGTTGATGATCTTATTCCTTATGAGAGACTGCAGGAAAACGCAAACGAGACGCACCAACCGGTTCTGCATGTACCTGTCCTTGATGGTTTCGCAAGTCGATATGCAATTTGAAATGTACAGGTGGACGAATTCCGTAGGCAAATCCACGGTCGTAGTTAACCGGTTGACGACTTCCATAGAGTGCAGGGACATCTCCATGTTGACCAGAACGCTGAAGTACTCCGTAATCTGCTTGGACTGCATGAGTTTCAGTAGAACTTCGATGGCTATCAGGGGATTATTCTCCACCAGGTCCGGAAGCTTCGAAGGGGTTAGACCTATTAATAAATAAATGAGTGAGTTCATTGAAGTGGGAAATATCCTGATATTAACAAAGTGGCAGTGTTCACTAACTTTTGAATATTCTACTAACGGAAATCAGTTTTCAATTGCTGTCAAGAACGGTTACAAGGTAGATAACTCCATAAAACTTACCAGACAAATAATAAATGTAGCTGTTAGTTAGTTATAGTACATATGTGTGAATTACTTTGTAAAAATAGGCAATGCAATAAATAAATATTACCTATGTGGTACACGAGTTTCGAGTCATTCTCTAGCTCCCCCAGGAGTTGCTGTTGCTGCTGAATAGACAAAGCAGCCTTGTAAGCCTTGTTCATGAGCTGACGCGCTTCATAGCCAGCCGTATCCGGCACACACATGGTCGTATCATAGGCTATACTGTGCTCTTTGGGCGTGGTGGGGTTCAGCCACACAGGCTCATCCTGACAGTTCATCAAAGGAGGAGCCAGGGTCACGAACTCAGGTTTGTAAACCCTGTTGACTGGGGGATTATCTCCGGTAACCAACTTCTTGACAATGGCATCGTCCTTCATTGCTTCCAAGCTGTAGCTGTTCGTACTTTTCTCGGGTATAGACAGAATCACAGGTATCCCATTTTTACACATCTGTGGCAGCTCCGACTGCTTCTCAGCAAGAGCCAGCTGAATGGATGAAAAATCAAAGTTACCCTGAGGAGAAGCATCCGAGTTGACGACCTGCAACGCGGTTTTCTTCAATAGCGAGTCTTTCGGACAATCCGACAAGAGCTGCGTAATGAAATGTTTCTCTGGAGGTGATAATCTCGGCAACTGGCCAGGGTACTCTAGTTTCGGGGCCCCCACGCTGCTCTGCTGCTCCGGTGGGTACAGAAGGTGGATGAAGACGTTGGCAAAAGGGGTTTTTGCCACAGAGTCGCCCCTGTAGAGCTCAAAGAGCAGAGTTAATGCAGCTAATCGTTGCTCGGCTTCAGGAAGCAGGCTGTTTTGCAGGAGCATGATTATGCAAGATCCGACTTTGAAGTACTCCGAGCTGTCGAATTTTTTCCGCAATTCGTTTGAGAGTGCTTCCAAAGTGAAGTTCCGAACGCTGTGGACTTCCAAGAGGCCCAGCAAAATGTCGCACTGATCTACGGTGAGGGCCATGACTGGGAGTTTCGGTACTGTTCGATTTAAATGTCAACTGAAGCTTGTTCAAAATGATTCAAACGAGAACCATTTCAAAATTTGCAGAAAATAATAAATGAAAGAAAAGCAAAACATCACAGCAACATACACAACCTTCCTTCAGATTTCAGATCTCTTCTTCTTCTTTAGTTTGCGATCAGAGTTGCCAATCAGGAAATTTTTTGTGGGAAATTTTCCAACAAAAATTTTACATTTTCAATATTTTTCACATGCAGGAAGGCGCCACGCTCAATGTTGTTTCCTGTTTTGTTCATTATCATCATTATTGTGAAACTGGATATCTATATTTTAATAAATTTTAGTTTTTCTTCTACTTAAAGTAGGCTAAAAACAAATTACCAACATGTATACCACTTATTAAGAATCATACATAAATAGCTGCTGAAATTGAAACTATGAGACTTAATTTACATTCTTAAGGGGATTTGCATACGTGGCCTGCTGTAGACCAGTGAAGAATTAAATATAGACCCTTTCTATTCATGATTGTAGTGAACCTTTACCAGAAGATGGCGTTGCAAAACACTAGGAAATCAAAGATACTAGTAGTACATAATATGTTGGAATAGCAACTCAAAATGCATCAAATTCTACCGTAACAGATTTTTCCAATGAATAAATATATATTCTTGTTGGAAATTCAAAATTACACCGTGAATTTACTATCGATTCCTTTTTCATCCATCAGAGTGTAGTTAATTAGACATTCACTGTGGCGCATTAGGATGTATCCCCACCAGGTATACTGTTTCATATCTGACCGTAGTTGTAATCTGTGGGATGTAAACGTCAATATCAAGCATGAATACAGCGTGACACAATTTATTTGAGAAATCTACCAACGGTGTCATTGAAAATCTACTGCAATGTATTTGAAGAGCACCAACTTACCAACATAGTGAAAGTTTGAGTGTTCGACCACTAGGTGGCACTTGTATTATATTTGAATAGCATCACTGAATTCAGAAGGCGTTGGCCTACAAATTTTAAAACTCCCCAAAAATCCTAACATATTTGTTTTATGTTTAGCAGACACTGAGTGCTCTTTCAAGCAAGCCTACTAGAAAGAACTTCTCAGTCGCATGCTCTACAATTTGCATTTCCAGTCCTTGACTTCTTTAACCACGATTCAAATAAAGGATTTAATTCCCATTCCGCTCGTTATTCTTGTTCAAATTTTCGTTCTGAACGATTTATTGTAACAAGTTAACCATAAGTTATGGTTTTGGTTGTAGACATTCAAAAACAGACAGGTTTCCATGTTTGAAATGAAACCTCGAATTCTTTGAAAGTTTCAAAACGAAAAGTGAAATGAGCTTATGTATGTATCTTCTTGTTCTTTCTTCAATCGAAAGTTGGAGATATTCATAATTCAAAAAACAATAATAAGCAAATCGGAAAATCGATGTTTTATGATGTGTATTGCAAATCGAGCGGACAGAACCTAGAAACAATGAGTTCAAGTCATTTGCTGTAGATGTCGCCACTATCACTGAAATAAAAATTCTATCACCAAGGCGTCTTATCCAAAAATACCGGCGAAAATTCATCTACTGTTATTTTCCAATTTGTGTTGAAAATCTACCGAAAAAGTAGGAGTCTACCGCATATGGTCTTGCAAGAATACGTATTAACCTTTCATTAACATTATACCCACTTTTTCTTATAAAATAAGCAAATACATGAATGAGATATCATTATTATGGGTTTCTTCATTCTGCAGACCACGGCTAATAAACCCAGAACATCGAACAATTGTTTGACACATCATATTATTATACTGTTTTCATAGCAGTGTTAATTGGTTTTGATATGAACAAAAACAAATGGACAATTTTGACTATATAATTCATCTAGGATATACATGGAATCGACATAAAACACTTCTGAAAGGTATATGAGCAAAATATTAAATATAATTAACAGCTTTGAAGCAAGTCTTGAAACAGGTACATAAAATATTTAAAACAAATTGTTTTTGAGATACCTGGAAACATCACAAAATGGCACTTAAGTAATTGAAAGTTCGCTTGGAACATATATACTTTTATGGCACGCAAAATATAGCTCAAGAATGAGGAAAAAGTGAAGAGTATGAAAACAATTACTTGTTCAATTTGGCGCAGTAGCTTATTTACATGGTAAGTATCTTTGATAAGAGATTACTGAATATTGAAAACAAATATAAGTTTTAATTAAATCTATATTTCAGATGTTCCAAAACTGAAATAAAATATTTCATTTGTGACCTTAAATATGAATCTCAGGTGCATGTTTAATATCAATTGAAATGGATGGAATATGAAAATATATTTACAGTTATTGAAGCAGTTAAGCACTTTTCACAGAAGATATTTCAATGAATAAATGTGATTAGTCAACAAGAAATTTACAATCAGAAATAGGTAAGTACAGTGAGTGATTAATTTAATGGCACTTTGATCACCATGTATGGAGGGCGTTCCATCTATAACTCTTACACAGGTTATCTCCAGAATTAGAGAATATATTTCAAATCTGCAAACACCAGTGAGTCAAGAACAGTTTGACATATGAGCCGATTCAAATTTTTTGATATTAAAAATGGTGGTGCGGCTCGAAAAATGTTTTTGATGGCAACTATTTTCAAATATGGTGTGTTTTATGGAATTGAATTCAGAACAGTTTTGATCATATCGGTTTGAGATATTGAAGATTCCAAGAAACGTTTTTCCGAAAAGTTAATACAGGGTGTTGATATCCATGAATTAAAATGTGAAGACCAGTGGCGTAGAAACTGAGGTAAAAATGGAGTCGGATAGTTCTACCGACATGCTGCTGTTTGTTGCTACAAAAATGATGTAGTTTTGAAAAATAGTGCTGTATGCAATGAGGTCATAATCTAGAATATCGTGGAAAAAAATTATATCATAGAATTTGTGGAGAAAAACTTTTATTTTTGAATTTTGATACCTATTTCGAAAACGGTGCATTTAAGAAAAGTTCAACTTGGGAAATATTAATGAATTCGTGTTGAAAATCTTCATTAACAATATATAGAAATATATCTCCAGTTTCAAAGATATTTCCTGTGTTGTTGCATATCTTCATCTTGCTCCTTTGAAAACCCAACAACAAATACAATAATACCATACAAAATTCCAAATAACTCCGTAATGAAGAATCACAAAAGCTGAATGAAGTATAGCTTCACATAACTCGAAATGAAGTTATAAAAAAGTGTTTTAGTTATTTTTGTAAAAATGCCATACAATATGAAACCCAAAAGATTTTTGAAATCAGTAAACTTTTAGCTCGCAATTTATTTATTCACACTTGCATTTCGTCTTCTAATTTCTAATTAATTATATTTTTTATTGTTAGATTTTGAATCAATACATCTTTAGATCATGGAAATTCGAACATAAGTAACATTTTTATTTTTCAAAAGTTAAAAACTCCTAAAAATTATACCTTTTTAGATAAATTTTGTCCGACCTTGATTCCTAGTTCCTTTCAAGAGTTAAAAGGAAGGACAACTATTTACGTTGAACTGCATATTCCTTCTTCAGTAGAATGCAGCAAAAATAAACTGATTACAAGAAAAACAAGTTTTTTTATTCAAATTTCTCCACATCCTGGATCAATATAAAGATGGAAAGAAGCTGTAGATTGATAACAATTGAGGAGTTTCTTCTCCATGCATAAATAAAATATTTTGCCGACAATAAAATAGAATAAGTAGGACCAACCATTTCGAGTGAAAAAAACGTTATCCAGTATCTAAGTACTCTTCCAAAATTTTTCTACAAGATAACTGCAGTGAACTAATTTATATAATATTTCTTTTATCCATTGATAATATTTTTGTTGCTAAATCTACTACATAAATCACATAAAGGAACATTCAATAAGAAACTACCTGAGCGGACATTGGTAAGATTGTTTCTATGTAATCTGTTAACAAAATCTGAGAACTTTGTTCTCGACTATTACATCGATAGGCAATTTGTAACATTTACCCTGTATAAAAAAACGATATACATTTTTCCAAACACTTAGTGATCATAACCCGAAACATGCATAATTACTTTTAAATATAAGGTGCATAAAATTTGAATCCTTTAACAATCAATTCCAACTCAGTACAAATTTATAATCAAACTGACAAAGTTTCTAAAAATATATTGAGGTATTAGATGGGCTGGAAGGTTCGTAGGCTAACAAACAGATGGCGCTACAAAGGGTAAAACCATCAACAGCGACTATTACATAGTGTTGTTGAAGCATTTTAAGGACTGAATCGCGAAAAAACGGCCCCATTCGAAGAAAAAGAAGGTGCTGTTTCCTCAAGACAACGCAGACTATCACAAATCAATGAAAACGGTGGCAAAATTGCATGAATCGAATTGCTTGCTGAGGCCTATTTTGAGGCGGAAGACAAATCGAACTATAAAAATGCTCCTAAAAAATTGTATGACAGCCATAATCGTTGTAGCGCTTTCGAAGTCAACTATATTGAATAATAAAATCAAATTTTATCAAATTTCCATGCTAGCCTACGAACTTTTAAGCTCAACATATATATATCGTGAGGTAAGCACCTTCGAATGAATATCATTCACGACCAGGAGTACAGTGCCCCATTACAAATAAAAAACTAACAAAAACAGGGAAGTTCCGATTGAAAAACTTGTTTTTAACTGGAAAAACCCGTGTAGGATCCGTACTCCTAGCAAAATTCAATGAATGCAAAATAGTTTTTACTTGCCCACAAATAGTGCTGAATATATCTCAGTATTGCTGCTAGCAAAAAAGCCATCCGTTTGCATGGCATGGCACATATTAAAATAAAATAGGATCAGTTGTACCTGTCCCTAAAATCACAATCGAAATAAATCACATGCAATCCAATTAACTAACCTCAGTCTCAAGAAAGCAAAATATAGTAGAAACGACTTCAAAACTATTGGAAGTCATACCCGTCTCTAAAAGCTGCAGCTGCTTTCCTGAGTGTTCTCCGAGGTACCATTCTCGGCCCTCTGCCACAGAATTCACACTCTTGCTTTTTCTTTGGAATTATTTTTCATTGACACCTATATCAGGGGGTCAGTGGAACATAGAATTGTTGCAATAAACTCAGATAAATAAACAATAGGTAACACGTAAAACCGTGTATAAGTTGAACTGTATAACGATAAATTATAGCCTATATATTATAATATAAAATATTTCAACTAAAACAATCGAGTCTACTTCGACTAGAAAATAACAAAATAATGTATCACCATACAAGGAATGCTGAAACCGATTTTTATAAATAATTGGTTCTCCTCAACAGCCATTTTGTTTGTGGCTGCGACAAATTCTATACTTTTGAAAATCGACCACGTTGAGAAGTGAAGATTTTGGTATAGTATTGACAAATATTTCGTTTTCAATTTCGGACGATTAACATTCAATGTCAAGCTAATTTCGTACAGACACTGATCTAGGAACGTTCTGAAGATTTTTGTGCAGTGCTTGTGCATGTTGATGGGAAAAAAGATAAATTTTTGGTGAATCCATAGCTGCCCGAGAAAAGTCTATCTGAACTTGATACTGCAAAACACCGGGTGTTCACAAATATATCAAAAAAAATTCAAGGTCAGTTAAAAATTATCATAAATTGCTATTACGTGGGTTGCCTTTTATATTCTGAGTGATACACAACTATTTGTTTGCCAGTTGTCTTCCAAGAAATCAGGAAAATCAACCGCCGAAGACGGATCACTCTTCACCACGACTATGCGAGCTCTCACACATCGGCTCGAACAACTGCATTTTTGAGCACCCAAAACATCGATTTGATGAGTCATCCGCCGTATAGTCCCGACTTGGCACCGAATGACTTCTTTTTATTCCCGCACGTAAAAAACAAACTGAGAGGTCAACGTTTTTCGACAACTGAAGAAGCGTGTTTTGGAGATACCTCAATCGGAGTGGCAAAAGTGCTCGACAATTGGTTCAAACGCATGCAAAAGTGTATAGATCTTCGTGGGGAATATTTTGAAAAACAATAAAGTGATTTTCAATGATTAATATTTGTTTTCGTTCTCTAATCCCGAAATATAAAAGGCAACCCTCGCAGATTTGGCTAAAAAATATTCAAGTGTGGGAACTGAACATGAAAGATATTTTTCGAAAGGATCATAAAACCGAGATGACAACAGACTCCTTGTTGTCTTCAGAACTGTCAAACCCTTGTAAATCCCCCCCCCCCAAAAAAACAACCATATACTTTTCATTTATATACTTCATCCGTCCCTCCATCATCCAGCTTACTCTTATACATCAAGTTATCCTTGGACTTCTTCACAAACGAATCGTACACCATTTCGTCGAAGAGATACTCCCCAACGGCGTCCGCCGCCATCTTGGCCCGCACCAACAACCTAGCCAGCTCGCAAATCGACTTGTTCTGCTCCTCCTCAAACTCGGTCGAAATCAGATCCATCACGTGCAGGTCCTTGTGTTTCTCGGCCACGTCATAGACGGCGCCCAACTTCTCCTTGATCCGCTTCTCCATCTCCAAAGCAGCAGCGAAAGCGTTCTCTACGGATTTCCAGTCCTGGTTGTCAGGCACTTGGATGGGCGACAGCGCTACGGAGGCCCCCCTCATGAGGACATAGTTGACGAAGATTATGGCGTGGGAGAGTTCCTCGACGTGCATGTTCATAAAGTAACCCTGGCAGCCCGGAAGGGCTATGTCGGTGCGACCAAAGTAGCAGGCCATGGAGAGGTAGGAGAATGCGGCGTTGAATTCTTCAGTTATCTGTTGGTTGAGTATGTCTTCGGTTTCTTTGTGGAATTTGTGGCGGCCGCTGGGCGGTTGGGATTTTTTCGAGGTGGTTTCCTGTGGTTTGGGGCAGGATTTGGACTGGGATATGAGGGATTCATAAGTGCTTGCGTTACTGACTAATTTCTGATGGCCGAGTTTCTGAAAACAGTTTTGATTTTTTGGGTTGGCTATCAATATACTCAGGCTTTGATGCGTCCTACTCCAGCATAGAACTTTATACTGGAAACATGAAGTTCCCTAATGCTCTTCAAAGAGTAATTAACTGTATCAAAACGGTTTGCAAAAAGTTCTCGATATGGGGATTGTCCTTTTCCTCCATAAAAAAGAAGACCTCAAGGATGACAGAACTATTAAATGAATATTGTATTGAGAATATTTAAAAGTTGAATTAAAACAGTTGCCTGACCTAACCTAACCCAACCTGACCTGACCTAACCTAACCTAACCTGACTTAACATAACCTAACCTGATCTATATAAGTGCGCCAGGACCTAAACTAGACAATATCCATCACAAACAAAATCTTTGGTTGTTATTGACTTATAGAATTGTAGTCAAGCAGATTCATTTGGTATCTTCTCCAGTTATTTAGAGTTCCAAAAATAACGGACCTCATTGTGTTCCACTATCATCCGATTCATTTATGAAGTTGATAAGTATAGAAAAAATAGAATACTTCTGTGTTTTAAAAAAAAATAGATGAATAAAAAGCTAACAACAACTAAATTGATTTACGGGAGCTCCAACGCTATTCCAATCCTAAATTGGGCCCGTGCAAAGCCAAGGTCATTATTAAAAAAAGATCGGCAAATGTCAAAAACGATACTGAAGGAATGGATAAAAGTTTTTTCTCCATTTTTTTTCTATGATTTACAGACAGAAAAGTATTGGGGAACTTCAAGATGTATCAGTAGAAAAACCTCCCGAATTTTCGAAAGCAATATTTATAAAAATTACCTGAAACAGTTTTTTGAAATAATCCGTTTTTGGGTTTGCCAGATATTGTGCCGCAGACGTTTGAACAAATCGGTGTCGGGTGAGAACTTCACAAGCCTTTTGAATCCACAGGAATTTGAGCCTTCTGATCAACACATGCATTGCTGTATAACAATTTTATCATTTTGTTGATCTTTTGCAGGGAAACTACCAAAACGACAATTCAAACATTGTCAAAATTTGAGTTTTGATCCTGTCACAATAATTAGGTGAATAAAAAGATTGACAGGATGTTGAGAAGATCAAGACCAATGAGCAGCAATACTTCAAAAAAAAAATGCAAGACCAGTACTCAGTAAATGTGTAGAATATAGCGCCAAGGCTGCATTTCATAAAAGTTTCAGGAAAGCTTCAGAATAGAGTATAAAGAAAATCTGTGGAAGCAAAAAAAAAATTAAAAAATATATTTTCCAGTACGTCAGAAACAGACCAAAACAAATTTTACGAATTTAGACTGTTCCTGCGTGAATAAAGCTTTGAAAAACTGTATGACTCTTTCAAACACTCATAAAAATCAGCCTCCAAATAATTCGACGATTGTCATGTCATACGTCAAGTCATGGTAATTCAAAGCAGGTAAAATTGTTTTCAGATTGTAAGTAATTATATCTCAAGGTTAGGTTAGGTCAGGTTAGGTTAGGTTAGGTTAGGTTAGGTTAGGTCAGGTCAGGTCAGATTAGGTTAGGTTTTCCGGTGGAAGAATGAATTAAAAAGAGGAGGGGTTTTAGTCGGTAAGAATCCCGCACAATGGGTCTTATGAAAGATGTCCCCTCCTCCCACCCCCCCAAAAAAGGGTAAGTTAGGTTAGGTAGGGTTAGATTAGGTCCGGTTAGGTTAGCTCAGGTTAGATTAAGTCAGGATAGGTTAGGTTAGGTTATGTTAGGTTAGGTTACGTTGATTTTTCTTGCGAATTATTCTGCATGGAGAGATGTATGTGTGTCAAACAATATAACGGCTTATTTTTTTGCTGTAGAGATTGAGATTTTTCATATCGGCTCCTTCGAGCTAGCTATGAAGAATCCCACCCGTCAAACCTCAGAATCCTGAATCAAATGAAAATATTTGTCAAGCTAATTTTTCAAGTGGCATTCACAATTTCCACCACAGAAAGTTGGAGTCACTTTAAATCGTTTTCCTGATTGTTCTATGGAAGAAATATAGTATTTCTTCTGATAGATTAAAACCATGTTGCAGTATTTTTTTCAACAATATGTAAACAATTATTAGCTCGAATAAAAAGGTAAAAATTATGAAAAAAATGACTTCAACTTCTATTGAGGTCTGCTTGTGACCCCTGAAATGTATTTTCTCAAAGCCTTTTTTTTGTTTCCATACAATTTTATTACTGCTTACTCTATTTTAGAGCGTTCTGAAGCCTTCTACGCCATATTCTACACCTTTTCCCGAAAATTCTCCAGTCAAACAACCATCAACATGAACAGAACCGCAACTTTAAAAATCTTCGTCCTGCTAAGGAATTTTAGGAATTCTATTCAACTTCAATTTCAAATTTGTCAGAACCACCGAACAAAATGACTTCAAAGAAAACCACGCTTTCGATAAATTTCAGTCTTCTGACATCAAGTGAACGCTGTCCTCGGCAGTGGAACGCAGAGAGAAACGATCTTGATAAAGGTGAGATTTCGTGAACGATTTCAAAGGAGACAGATCTGTGCATTCCCAGCTGGAATGCTTTGGTTTTAGTTCGGCCGATTTGGAGTCTTTGGTTTCCTATAATTTCCACAATTGAAGAAATAAATCATTTCCATACAGACGTATGAATGAAATTTATGCAAAATAAACACTGCTTCCAGACACCAGGACTGTGAAACTCTTCTAGAGACAGCACTGCTCACAAAAACCAAATTGACGTCATCAGGAGATGAACTACTAAGTAATTCCTAAATCTAACTTTGCCTAACAGGGTAAACATGCACTTAACCTTTTAAACTACACATCAATGTTTTTTTTTAATACAACGAGAAATGTCTGTGGCAGTTCCTGCAAATTTCAACTGAGAAGTTTATATAGAAGTAAAGGGCGGTTTAAACTTGAACTTGGGTCAGTGTTTATAGTTCTCATGCCCAACTTTTTTATTTCCAGATTTCCAAAAGCATCCAAAAGTCTAGTGTCGCGTGCTAGACTCAATAATTTTAAACAACGTGACTGTTCTCCAAAATCGGATATATTCATTTATTTATTTTCATGTACAGTTTTTTAAATTAGTGTATAATCCATTAGTGCGCCTTGGCAAAAAGAGTAAATGATCCTAATATAATGGTTAGTAAGTTATATAACATTGGCATTAGAGGGTACCTTCTGGAATGGATAAAATATTTTATGCAAGATAGGAAAATGGTAGTGACTGTGAATAATGAAGTATCTGATATTCAAGATATTATCCTTGGGGTACCACACGGGTCCACTTTAGGCCCACTGCTTTTCTCTATCTATATAAATGATCTTCCGAAGTATATAAAACAAGGTTTCATTATCCTATTCGCAGATGACACTACCATAACAGTTTCCGGAAATACTGCGGAGGAGCTAAAAAACAACATTAATTCAGTCATGGACGACATGATTTCTTGGTGTGATAGAAATCAACTAAAACTGAACGAAAGTAAAACAATACATTTAAGCTTCGCGTTGAGGAAAACAGTGAAACTCAACAACATCCAACTCTAGGAAACAGCCAAACTTATTGGTATGTTTATAGATAAAACCTTGTCTTGGGAGCCCTATATCGATTATGTCTGCAAAAAATTGAATCAAGCATTATTTGCAATACGACAAAACATAAAACATCGACATTCAAGGAGTCATTTGCATATAATGGCATAATATTCAATACATTGCCTCAAGATATTGAAGATTTGCATATTATACCATTCAAAAAACAAATAAAGGAGCTATTTAACTGATAAGGGATATTATAGCGTAGAAGAATTATTAGAACGGGATACACTGTTATCATGATTATTGCTTTCACTGTATTTCTTTCATCCTAGTTAAAGATAAATTTACATATTATCATGAGCATCGTTGGATCATTCATATATAGTAAAAAATAATAGGGCCAAGGATGGTCCCTTGAGGAACTCCACATTGAATGTGGATATTGTAATAGTTTTCACTATCTGGGTCCAATTGATAAGCATGTTTTGGAATATTTGTAACTTTTCTTCTATAATTTTTGTATGATTGAAAGTGAGAATTAGTATAGTTCACCTCCTGATGATTCTTACTCGGTTGGAAAAGAGTGTTTCAATTCTAGCGTGTGGCGGCAGTGTTTCTATTAATTTTTCCTAGTTCTACCTCCATATTGGAAGTGTGAAAAGTTGATTGATTTTTCGAACTTACGTTTACTTCGACTGAGATCATTTCATCTTCGAGAGGTGACAAGAAGGCTTTGAAGTTCGGTGACCTGGGCCAATGTGTCGGAGGTGGACTTCTTATCATATGCTTGTGCACTTCTGGGAGAGACAGAGGGTCAACGTCTAGATCCAAGGACAGTTCCTTAAAAGACAAATGACCAATTCATTCGAAACTAGTTCAATAAGTAGCAGTTTTTTTTTATTCGTCAAATACTTTATCCGTTGAACACAATTGAATGTCGCGTTTTATAGGCGGGTTATAACTTTGCAAAGAGAATGGATCGGTAAACCAGAAATTGAATTTATAACTTCTCATTTTATTGAAGTCTTCTCCGGATATTCCTTGTGCGTCAATTACTATTGAACCTTTTGGTTCAATAGTAATTCACACATCAACAACCGATGAAAATGTTGAGAAAGTGCGGAAAATTTTTATGGAGATCCATCGAATCACTATTTTTTAGAAATGACAGCATATTTTGACAGTCTAGCAAAGCAAATCAAGGATATTCATCGTTGATATCCCACTAAATATCAAGGTAATTATTGATTTTTACTGCTAAAAACCTCAACACAGTAACATTTCTTGTGATCCTCCGATATCCATCTGAATAATATAAAAATCTTCAATTTATAAGCCCAATTTCTTACCTTAGCCATCAAGTTGGCGTCGTCAGAATCCTCCTCAGTATCCAAAGTATCTATAAGACTCTCTCTGCTGGCTATGATTTGCTGAAAGCAAAAATTATAACGTCCTACAGGTTACAACTAATTGTACAAAGTTGTTATCTCAATATTGTATATGTGGAGAAAGTATATTATTCAACTGATGAGAAATGTTGACGTTACTCATGAGAATGCAGTTGCGTAAATCATCCGAGTGAGTAATGACCATTTCTCGTAAGTAGAATACTATAATTTTTCTATGACTCCTGTCAGGGATATTTTAAAAAGCAAGACTCTGTGAAAGACCCATATTGAATTTTATAGGAGAGCAAATTAATTGAAGCTATATACTTTTGTGTTTACACAAGACAGAAAGAGCTTAGTAGTGAACATACATACAGGGTGTATAAGCAATAGGTGAATGAGCGATAGCTGCTTTTCTGTTAAAAGGTGGATTTTACTCCTTGAAGTTTTAGTTCAATTTTTTCAGTTAATTAGACAATGTTCTGAGCATATACTCCTATAACAATTAGCTACTGTTTTTTGACTGATTCTATACATGTTTCTGAATGTCACTAAGAAAATAAAGTATTAATATTATCATTACTTGTAGGAATGAAGCTATTTGAGTTTCTAATCGCTTTCATTTTGTTATTGAGTAAAGAACTTTTGAAAAACATCAATTTTTTCCACCAGATTACAAATTTCCAGTAGGTTACCCTCATTTTCATTGCCCGAGCCCTGTTTTCATTCTTTTTTTTTTTTGTTAGAAACTACATTTTAAAACGTGACTAACAGTTCAATTTTGAAGCAGCTGAGTTCTCAATGAAAATAATTCAAAGACAGCTGTGAATTATTGAATGACGCACGTCTGTGTTTGGTCTAAAAGCTGACTCAAAAGAGTTATGTAATGGATCCCCGCTTACCTACGCAACAAGAAACGAACATATAATTGACGCTTTTTTTCAAAAGCTACAAAAACCTAATTTTCTTTTCTACCTGTACGACAGGGTTGTCTTGTCTTGAAGCTCTGATGTTCTCCATGTCCTGGTCAATGTTTACTAGTCGACCAGGAGTAAGAGTTAAAGTCGACAAGGCTGGCGATGGACAGTTGTTATGTATCTTAAGAAAGTAGTCGACACCAGGGACGCTCATTGTGGAAGTGGCACGTCCCACCTTTTTTTCTTCCCGGGATCCTACAATTATAACGTATTCATTTATTCAAAACATCTTTGTGAACATCTCAGAGAGGCAATTACATGTAGAGGTAAGTTTTGCATATAAGCTATTCACAACCTAAATGAACTTATGAGAATTGAGAAATAAAACTTCCTGTTTTTCTCCCTGTTTATTTCTCAATTTTCATGATTGTCTCCCACCATGTAGTAACGGCTACATCCATCAATTTATTAAATAAACTAAAACTAATAACTTGTTACTATAAGCAGACAAATAATATAATAAATAATAACAGACAATACAATATGAACATTTCTAATGAATAAACAAATAATACTATTTTCAATTTATCCTCTCTATAATTTTGAGGAAAATCTAGATGAACTGTTTGAATGAAGTAGATATTAAGAAACACTGGATATTTTAACACGGTGGTGGCTCACCCCCTGAACATCCTTTGCGTAGATTAAGCATGTTTTATTCGATTTTCAATGTAAATCAGAAACTAGACTTGAATAGTAATAAACAACTCTCTATTTAATGTATTTCATTTGATCAAAACTTTTTATTTGATGATGTCCTTGATGAAATTTTCGCTAACTAGAGATCTGCCAAACCAAAATATATGCAGATATTTGACTTATGACATTTATTTATGTCAAACTGTGACAGTTTCTGTCTAGTATCTCGGCAACGTGAATTTTGTTTTAGAATTATTGTATTTTTTGTGTTTGTACTGTTTTACGACAAGCAGACGGGTTTCTCCATCTCTTTTAGAATTCCCACTTGGTGAAGAAGAATTCAGGGATAGTTTTTCATGATTTCAATACATGATAATACGATGTATTGTTCAATTGACAACGTATTTCATGAATCAGAGTAGCTCGTAAGTAGGTCTTTAGAAAGCAATTCACGTGAACATAAAGTGGAATAACATTACATAACAAACTCAACTTTAAGCAAAGTTATGTCTATTTCGCGATCACATTTTCAAAGTGAACTGTTCACTGGGAATGTTACAATAAAATGTTCACTGTGAAGAGTTTTTTGAAACTTAATTACTTTCTTCGGAAGTTTCCCACATTTTTTGTGTCAAGATGGAGAAGAAGGAAGTCAACGAATGTGATATTTCACTGAAATTTCAATGCAGAGTGCCACTAATGATTCTTTGCTTTTCTAGAGTTTTGCAGTGTCACTTAGCACCAAGGGTTCCTTAGGAAACAAATTTACCTCTGAACCACGGTAATAGGTATTGTAGGAGGCAGGAATTTCAAGACTTTTAAATCAACAAATTCAATGTCACGGAAATGTCAATACAGAATGCCACTCTGATATTTTTTTATTTTCCTTGAGAGGTATACACTGCCACCTTGCGACAATGTTTTCGAATTAAAAACTAAAAAGAAGAAGAAGAAATAGAGGTTATGATTGAAAAGTGATAAATCAAAACAAAATTCCTTATTTCAATAAATTATTTAATGATCGTGAATATTTCCATTTAAAATGAATAAAGAAGAAATGAAGCCTCATCATGTACAACAACCTGTATGTGTAACACGACCAGCATACAGACAGGGTCGAAAACTAACTGCAGTCAAGGTAAAGACTCCTGGGGACTATTCTTGAATCACTCGCAGTTCTTCGTATACGTAGCTTTGCGATCTTCTACGAACGATTCCGTTAAAATCGTTGTTCTTGATTTTATGCTACGATCAACAGCAGGCATACATATCAGCTGCAGATCCAAATGTACCTCTACCCATTCGTTCTAGCGAGTAACAATCAAATCGCAGATATTCGCATACGTTGCAAACGACGAGTAACTCAAAAAATAGCGACCCGGTATTTTCACCAAAATTTCTCAAGAAAAACTTCATTTCTAGGTGTACACCATCAATCAAGAATCTCAGCATTTACACATCTACGGGGTTCCTTCGCCTAATCTTCGAAACGAATTGAAAAGACTCTGTTCCAAATATGGACAGGTTTTGGCGATTTTTGTTGTTCCAAACGTAGTTACAGAAATGTTCACGGAATGCTACCACGTCCAGTACCAAAGAATACAGTCAGCACGAATCGCAAAAAGATTAATAGATACAAGGTCATTCTACGGAGGCGTTTTGCATGTTTGTTACGCCCCCGAAAGCGAGTCTTTACAGGAAACAAAAGCGAAACTGCTGCAGAGGAAAAAAGACGTTCTGAATAGGTTGCCCAAACAGATTGATAAGACGTGATGCACTCGACAGGAAGTTTATGGGAACGTTATTGTTGTGAAAAAATTCTGAAGGTTTAAAAGATAAAACATCATCCAGATTTCATCTCCTAGTTTGTAAGATCATTAGAGTTTTTTATTATGTTAGAAGATAAACATTGACTGATATTCTCAATAAAGATTAAGTTAATTTGCTGCTAATTTGTGCTTTTCAAGTTAATTTGCTACAGAGCACTAAGTTTCAGTAATGTCCATTCTGGTTCTGCATAACCTTATTCAGTGCCAGCCATGTTTAAAAAAAATACATTGAATGAAATCTGTTTTTCCATTAACAAAATGTCGCCTTCCTGAAAACGACAACCCTCAGAAGTCAAAACTTGTGCGAGCTAAGTATCAACGGGGGTCTTACCTTTTAAAGTGTGTTTCCTATCACCAGTTGGACAATAAGCAACGAAAATCGATCGTCCGGCAATAGAGTTTGAACTACCGTTTCACCCGATGGACATCTGACTGAGTGGACCCCAGCCAGGTACCGTTCCACCAATCAAACACTTGATTATATGATCTAGAGTTTTATTAAAAATATATACAAGCTGTGGCTAGTAGCTAGAGTAAATTTACTTATTTTATTAATCAAGCCAGCTATAAAGAAACATTTATTTGATATCCTCAGTTACATATTGAAACTCTGTTAATTTGTTTATTGAATCAATGTCAACGCCTGAAGATTCATAATAACCTATTATCTATTGCTGCCTCACTATATTTCATGGACTTAATGGTTTTATAATGAAAAACTGTAGTACTATTTTGTAACCAGGGTACCTCTTGAATATAGAGATTACTTTATCAATTTGACTTAAAATATACTACCCACATTTACTTTGTTGAACCCGCCAAACCACTTTGTTAGAACTCTTCCTCAATATGCTCAACCTGACCTATCAAACTAAAGTACAGTAGCTGGCACAACCAGATTGCGTCGTTTGATTCTTGTTGCCAATGTGAATATTATCGCTTGCATATGACTCCCACAGCCTGGGTGTTTGGATTATCTAAAATAAATAACAATAACCTGTGGTAGAAGTCCATTATATCTCGAAGTGGAGTACAGTAATTCACTGTGCATAAATGACACTAAATGAGTACAGCCAGAGTCATGGCCGGGGAGAAGACCCTACCTCAAGATGTGCAGTAGATGTGTAGAATTCCGTTATCAGCTGTTAGATTATTCGAGCCGTAACATCCAAATTCAGTCAGTGATGGAGTGTAAAAGTAAATTGCGTATAAACATATTTTAAACAGTCTGTACTGCACACCTTGAGGGAGGGGCTTCTCATCGGCCGTGTCTCAGTCCGGCAGCTGTACCCAGACTGTAAATTTGCATAACATACCTTGTATACTAATTCCTCAAATGCAGACTGTACCCCGTCTTTTGTTTTTGCACTAGCTTCAATATACAAAGTTTGGTGTCTTCTAGCAAATTTCATGGCTTCGTCCCTAGAAACCTCCCGCTTGTCCTAAAAATTGAAGGTATTTCAATTTATTTTCACCACGGGAGTTTGCTGCATTCTTTTTTGAAAAAAGAGCAAAAAATTAATGAAAAGTAATATGAAGATACTTCAAACATCAACGTGAGAGATGTGGCTGTAGCAGTTTCTGGAGTTAGCATAAAGTTTGAAATATGTTGACCTTAAAACGTAAGCTGAAGTGATATGGATGAAGACATAAAAGTATGAGTGGTTTGACTTATATATAACAGGACGAAGTCATATGACGAGGATAAATGAAACATTGAATATTAATTCAAGTATTAACCTATCTGTAATTTCTTTTGGTGTTACTGTTAGTTTTATCTGTATTCAGCAAGTAAGCTTTGTCAACAAGATTGACCTTTTAGTATTATTACACAGAAAGTACATGATCCAAGACTTATGATAACTCACCACATCAATTTTGTTACCGACTATCATCTTTATGATATTACTTTTGGTTGAGTATGTTTCTAGTTCGCTTAGCCACGTCTCTAATTTGGCAAAAGTAGCGTAACTGCTGACATCGAAGACTAAGATAGCTCCCTGAGCGTCTCTGTAATAAGAGGGTGTCAGCGTTCTGAACCGTTCCTGTCCAGCAGTATCCCAAATAGCTAGTTTAACAGTATTTCCATCGATGTTGAGCTTTTTTGTTTTGAAGTCGACACCTATCGTTAAGGTTTGTTCGGGATCAAAGTTATCTTCTGTAAATCTAAGTAAAAGGCTAGACTTTCCCACGCCACTTTCGCCAATTATTAGAATTTTTAGAGTTGTCAAGATATCGTCATCCATTGCTGAACAAAGTGCGTATCGAAAATTGGTAACAAAAATTGGATAACTAAGGTTGTACAAGGTTAAGGTGAGATTTTTTTGGAAGATGAAAAGTTATTTTTTACTACTCATCAATTCACGGCAAGACGTAACAGATTTGAATAAATATTCAATCAATAAATACAAATATTTACAAATTATACAGAGGTAGCATATGACAATTGACCAATCTTCTTCTTCTTTTTTGATTTTCGTTTTTGGTACTTCCAGAGAAACTTTGTTCGAGGAGACAATTATAGTCAGGTTCCGAACTAGTGAAATTCATCATGAAACATTGTCAATCACCTTCAAACAACTAGAAAGCGCATTTCACATTATTTGACGATGTCACATCTTAATACAATTCAAATAAAATAATATGACAGGCGTGAGTGTGGGGGGACATAGAACTTGTGGCACCTTTTCTTCGCACGTCCTTATAATCAAAACTAAGATCTGACATTGCATAATCATTTTCAAAGGATGAACACTAAATATGGTCCGCTTCTCTATATGACTCATTATTCAACCATTTTTCCAATCATAACGTGAAAATATCACATTCCTTTCTCTCCCTCTCCCACCTCAAGCTGTTGAAGTGTGTGCTTCGTACCTTCAATGTATACGATAATTATTCCAGTTCCACTAATAGATTATGTGCTTTACTGGTGAAAAGCTTTTGTAGTGCATAGTCAACAACATTTACGCCCGGAAGATGAAAAGATTATCCAATTTTGACGCTCTGCACGTTCTTAGAAACTACTTTCCACCCAAAGATGGATGAGTCTAGGCTCACTTGATTGCGTCCACACTTGGTTTTACAAATGACTTCATTACCAACTGGCCGGATAGCCCTGGTTGCTGAGGACAATGAATGGAAAAGTAAGAAGTATGATTATGAAATCTGTCGCTAGTGGCTGCACTGTAGCTGCACACATGTACTGTATTGGCTAATGGCTGATAGTGTTCTGGTCACTGTTGGCTAAGGTGTATAATAAGAAGAAGCGTAGCTTTTTTGTCAATAAGAATAATAATAGGAATAATGAGTAATGATAATGTTCTACGCCAGAAAATATTGAAATCTTAGAGGACAGAAATAAATTATCAGAATCAGCCGATGTTTTTGATTTATAATAATCTCAATAGTGGTCAGCTTAAACAAAAATCAACCTGTATGCAACTGACTTTTCAACATGGAACCTTGCAGAGTTTGTTTGGATGTTTCTGAATCAAAAATGTATCCCCTCCGAGGGACTATTGTGAACTGTGATGTTAGCATTGGCGAGATGATCACATACTGTACTTCAATTGAGGTGAAAGTCTCTAGCTTCGCTACCGAACTATGAACTGAACTACAAACATTTTCAGGTCGATCCGGAGGATGGTTTCTCAACTTCTGTTTGCATACCTTGTTTTAGGACAATTCGAATCGCATATAACTTCATTCGCCAGTTTAAGGAAACCTACGAAGGAATACGTGATGGTACTATTCAGCTGCAGTTTCAAGCGAATGATCAAGAAACTAGTTCAACTGGCGAAGAGGAATCCAACAAAGATGATCGTGAGGAAAGTGTGGAGGACCAAGTGACAGAAGCAGATGTGATAAAAGGAGAATTAGTGACGTACGAGGATGAACAAGTAATAGTAGTTGAAGGTAAATAGTCATTTAAACAGTTGGTAATTAATTTTGATAAAACATCAGTAAACTGACATTTTCGGTCGTAGATTAGGAATCTGTGGTCAAAATCGTAAAATGACAAATCGTTTTCATGATCGCACACAAACTTCTGTAATTGATTCCATGTTATTGAATTAAATATAGTCGCTTGCCAGTCAAATATATACAGTTAGAAGGATCATAATCGTGACACTTAACAGATTTGTGATCAACAAACAAAAGTACATGAGTCTATTGAAATATTTTTCAAAATTTAGTTCTAACAGTTGAAACAAATATTTACCGTAGTTGGAAATGAACCGGAGGCTAGCAAAAGTGTTCCCGATGAAGATAATCCGTACCAAGACCAGACTTTGGAAGGTTTTGAATCTTTTTCTCCGAAACGTGAAGGCTCAGACTCGAAACAGGAAACGTTTATGTTGCCTGAACAAGACTGGGAAGGATGCGAAATCAAATATGAGTTGGTTGATGCTGAATTTTGTTTAGAGGATGATCCAGTTCACCAAAAAACCTTGATGGATTCGCCGGAGCAGACTGTCACAAGAAATGTCAAAAAAAAAGAGTCCCCTAATGACGAACAACAGCACTCAAAGTTGAGGCGGAAAATAAAAACACTATTGTCTTGTCCGCTCTGCCCGAAATTGTTATTCTCCTCATATGAAAATGAATTCATACCTCACTTTTCCGAGCACAAGGATGAAACGTTCACTTGCAATCTTTGCAACAGCAATTCCACTCATAGTTACAAAACATTTTTGCTGCATTTCCACCAAACCCACAGGTTCCAGTGTCCTTATTGTGGAAAAAGCTGTTCCAAACCCCAGACCCTGAGTACCCACATGAGAATACATTCTGAAGTAAGTGTTTTTTTTCAGTAAGAAAGTAATCTTTTACTGCCCAAGATGAATTAGGCTTATAATGTATTTAGTTATTTATTTATATGATATTTGACGTGATTGCATTTCACTGTGCTCGAAATTAATACGGTCGTGTCATCATTTTTAGCATAGCTACAAATGCACTTTCGAAGGTTGCAAGAAGACCTTTCCAGCAGCCTGGAACTTGAGAAAACACCTTACCGTTCACTCAGAAAAGACATCTTACATCTGCCCAGAGTGTGGGAAGGAATTCATAACCTACGACACATACAGGTACCACCTGAAGAAGCATTCGGGAAGAAAGTTTCTGTGCACCCATTGCGGACAAGCTTTCATGCAGTCCGTCCACCTCAAGTACCACATGTGGAAGCATACCGGCATTAAAAACTACAAGTGCGACCTGTGCGATAAAAGCTACACCTGCGTGACGCAGTTGAAGAAGCATCGGCGACGGCATCATCCGAACGCGAAGGAGTTTGTGAAATATGAGGAGATAGTCAAAGCGTCTGAACTTCATGATAAAGTCGGCGTTTTTCAGTGATTTTTGTACGTTTCAATCTGTGACCTTTTGAGTACCATGTACCGAATATAAGATTGATTGGAAACTTGGACGACCTGACTCAAAATATTGATCTTTATTTTGTTAGACTGCATTAAATAATTTATTCAAAGCCTCTAATGAATTCCAATATACAGATTACCCGTTGATAAATAAATACATATGCTGTAATTACAGAACTCGTTAAAAACAATTTGTGTCAACTGAGCGCGATATCTCCCCCTTACTGAGGCGCCATCTATGGGTTCGACGGAGAACTCGAGTATAACGAAGATTTACGAGGCTTCCCATTGCAGATGTCGAAGCATTGTTTTATCTCAAGGGAGATTGCCTGACGATGCCAAGTTGGTACTTCAATTTCCATTGTTATTTAGATTTGGAAATACATTGATATTAAGTGAAATACTTTATAGTCCATAAATTAAAGATCTGAACAAAATAGCGCCGCAGATTTCGATTGTGGCACCATCTATCAACTTATGTACAAAGTTGTTTCTATCTCATTTTTCGTTTTATAAAAACTTATACTGTTTGGCAGTACTAAAAAGCACCCTACCATTGGAATATTGAGAAACAAGAAATTTGGTGGATTTTTTCCAAAATTTGAAATAGAAAATCACTACCATCTATCATGAAGATTCTGTACTAGAAAACTTAGGAATTATATCAAATGTAAGACGGCACTTGTACACAAGTGGAAAAGATGAATTTGAAAAGTAATAAAATAAACAGAAAAGAAATGCAGATAGGCATCCCAATATACAAGCAAAATTCGCATGGTAGTAATTATATTGACAATACATGATTGTTTTATGTTCAAGAGGATTATGAACAGTAGTGCCATCTAGGTTCTATAAGTGGAACATAAAATTCAGGGAAAAGTAGACTATCCCGTATATAAAGTTTGAAAGAAATAAGATTCGAAATACGAAACCATCCCCTTCTATCAGAAAGTTTTTGTTCTAGAAAACTTAGCAATTATATTTAATGTACGATGGCACGTACACAAGTGGAAGAGATACATTTAAAAAGAATAAAATCAACAGAAAAGGAAAAATTAAAATAGATATCCCAATATACAAGCAAAATTCATAGGATAGTAACAATTTTGACCATACGTGATTGTTTTGTACTCAAGGGAACCATGAACAGGGGTGCCATCTAGGTTCTATAAGTGGAACGTCAAATTCAGGGAAAAGTATCGTTCTTATACTTATTCCAATGGTGACATTTTCCACCAATTATTTGAAGAAAAATATGTCTCTCTATATGAAAATGTATCCATTCATTGAAAAAGAAGAAAATCCGGGCTGGTTGGCCGTGGCAGAATAGTACCTGAAGTACCAACACAACACTGAATTATATATCCAGTGGAGTAATGCTGGAAAATTGTTCTCAGATTACTATAAATATCCACAAAAAGCATTTAAATTATGGAATTGCATCTTCTTTCATTTTTGTTATGTTCGTTATGCTGTTTTAATTTAATTATAGTAGTAATAATAAATGGTCTTTATTTTTATCTTGGAGGAATTTAGCTTGTGCTATTCTACCACTAAACCAAGATTATTTTTATAGGACCTAATCTATGAACGATAAATGTCCCTAGAATTGATGTTCAATAACTAGTAATGGAAGCGAGGCTGAAAATTTAAAGATTGTTTCAATTGATACACCACACATTAATAACAATAAAAGAAACATTTAATTTGGTAATAAAGTAACATAAAGCTACAGTACTAATGATCAATTAATATTTGGTGAAAAAATTCCTGTTCTTTTAGTCACTCAGCAAAGAATGCGTATCTTCGAGAGTTTCTTCATGTAGCCTTTTCTTATTCATACAAAGTTTAATGTGTTTTTTCAGCTGGGAGTTAGTAACGAAAGATTTCCCACAAATATCACACGTAAACGTCTTGTGGCCCATATGTCTGTTGATGTGGTCTCTCAAATGTACAGACTGGTAAAAGGCTTTCCCGCAATGCGTGCAAAGATGGTTGCGGGACCCTTCGTGGGTCTTCTTGTGGTATTTCAGGGCCCCAACACTATTGAAAGTGGCATGACACAAGTCGCAAGGATACATGCTCTGACAGGCGTGTGTTCGTACATGCTTCCTGAGCAAGCTGCACAGAAAGAAAGATTTTTCGCAACCTTTCAAAGGACACTTGTATTTTTTTATGTTTTCGTGGAGTTTCATATGGTACTGATAACCGTAGCTGGAAGACAAACGTTTATTGCAGATGTAGCATTGGTACTTGTGAACTTTCTTGTAATGGGAGAAAAAATCTTCTAAATCAAATTCCACTTTATTAGGACACCTCGAACATACTATTCTTGTCATCTCATGCGACAAAACGTGTATGTAGAATACTTTGTACCGGTCGTATTCTTCTGAACATATCGGGCACTTGTAAGTCACAGAAACAAAAGTGTCTTTCACAATTTGTATTTTTTTACTTTCCTCTTCCGTAAAATTTTCATTTTTTATTAAAATAATGTTCCTGTGATATGAATTCGAGCTACCAACTTCTGTAGGAATGTTGGTATCATCCTCGTATTTGAATTCCAATGTTCCGGTATCGCCTCTCTTGAGGTTTTCTAGTTCGCTGGCCAGTTGGTCATTTTCATCAAAAACTACTTCCTCAGATTTTTCAACCTCAAAGGATTCCTCCCAATCCACCTGGTCCTCAGTTTCATTCTCAACTTTCACGGAGTTATGAAGATCTTCTAGATTTTCTGGGCATTTGAGAAATTCCACATTGAAAGCTCCAATACCTTCATCTTTATGTTTTTCTGGAGGTCCTTCTTCGCGGATTTGCAATAAATTGAACAGTTTTTTTTGAGACTCTTGAAACTGTTTCAGAAAGTGATATGCCAACCTGATTCTTTTGAAACAGGTAAGGCAGACAGACTGCGGCAGATTCTCGCTCAAATCCAGCTGTAATAAAAATAAAAAATGAGAGTTCCCTCAGGATTGTTTTTGAATGTTAGGAATTGAAAATTACTACTCAAAAGATACCTCGGAAGAAATGCAATACTCTAGCATAACCGCAATGTCTACATCCACATTTAAAACGTTTCCCACCAACGGGTACGTTTTGGTTGATGGTTCCAAACAAGCTCTACAAACTTCCGACATTTTTATTCTGGTTTATTTTCGATTTGTTTCATTCTTGATTATACAGAACATCTGACACTAACTTGACACTGAAACAAAACTAACTTCTGAACACAGATTACAGAAACAAGTTTTCAGTGTTCAGTGCTTCTGAATAAACATTCTTCTTGGATAGGCAAGCTTTTTGACAGTTCCCACAATCATGATGTAATAGGTGTGTTCGGTTTTATAAATCTGGATCCGAGCGAGCAAAAGCAGATTTGATACGCGTGTTCATAGAGTCAACAGAGCAAAAATTATTTAACGAACGCTCAATTCTATACGAATGACAAGTCGATATTTGTAGTATAATTCATTACGATGATAGATGGAGTTTTTTTCTACAAGAGCACTATAATTTATAATTTTCTCCTCAAAATAAAAACATTGTTTGCAACATTCTAAGAACTCTCTTCACCGACAAATAATTTTACAAAAAATACCCAAAATTCAACTTTTTTAAATATGACAACTGAGTTGCGGAACTAACCTATCACATTGTTTCCTCCCTCTTGTAAATACCGAACACAGAGCAGATGTAACACCATAGAACATAGAACGCTTACCGTTCGATGTTGTTATGTTCGAGCGAAGTGAGCTAATATTGCCAATATTTATGAAAATGCTAGCATAATTATGATGAATTTTCGACCCTTTACTTTCTCGACTGCATAGCCGGACAGTTCGATCATAGGCTCGATTATGCTCATTTTACACCTAAAAATGAACCATAGTAGCAATCCTTGTTCGGATTGATTATTCGTGATTATCAATAATTAAAAATGAATATAGATCTTTTGTGAATAATAGATCATTATAGGGAAATTCAAACAAAAGTTTCATATAAAATACTTTCTTATATTTACAAACGAACCACAAAATAGGTGAATCTTTTCTTAACCTACTCGTGAAACAATATTGGAAACACTGTTTCCTCACCAGAACAAAAATGCTGTCTCTGGTGTTATGGTGAGGAAAAAGTAACTTCCATTAGGGTTTCTAATTTCTACTCATCAATAAGAATAGTTCTTTATCGTAGAAACATCAAATTATCGTCGCACATCACTGATCCGGCTCGTAGGACCAACAACACTTTTTAACGCCGTTCAAGACTCGGGTTCTTTGGCTGTTTCTTCGGCAGGCTTCCCCAAATTCTTTTTCCTTTTCTTTCTTCTGTCCATCAATTGCTGCAAGACTTGCCTCTCGCACTCGTCGTCATCATCGATTATGATAGCAGTGTGAATATGCACATTTTCACCAGGTTTAACAGTATTCGACATTCCGTAGCAGGTTGGGAACGCTCTATAGACGTTGTACGGAAACCTGGCCTTTGTATCTGGGTTATAACAACGAAAATAGATGAGCAAAGAGACAAACCAAGAGATGGGGAAAGGCAGAGGAGAAAGTTAAGTGGTATTTTAGAGAATAAGGTATAGTACATCTTACCGTTTGAAGTAATGAACAGATTACAACCCATGCCTGGAAAACTAAGTCGATCTTTTTCCAGCACACATCTTGTTTTGTCGTGAAGGTCGCCTGGATAATAAAATTGTTTGGATTTCAATATAAAGTTTGATAAAAGTAAGTGGAAAACTTACTCAGCCTTACAGTTTCAGTGGCAACCCAAGAAGAAACGACCTTTTTTTTCGGAGGCCCTTCATCATGTTCATTGTTCTGACCTTCCTTCTCATCTTCGATAATTTCAATGTCACCCTCTGCTAGGATCAGAAAAAATTCAAATAGAGAAAACTTGGATCAGTGCAGTTTGAATACGGTGTGTATATATATTTTTTTCATAATCGTGACCCAGTGGGACATTTTTCGATGTGTTTTGAGGATAACAATAACGATTTGGAAACGCCACATTGAAGGAATGTCATTTGGCTCCGAACTGGCCACTCATCATGCCTGATTTAACGTCTAGAGATATGTTTTTACGAATTACCTTGAGACAAAAATGAATGAATGAATGCTCAGGACAATAGAATGATAAAGCAACCGATTCCGTTTGAATTTTTTGATATTTTCACCATGATTTTTGAAAATAAAACATGTTAACAGTCATATAGTGATCGATACTCACTTTCTTTAGCCGGAGCATCCAGGTACTTCTTCAACCTGTCCTTGTAATAATCCCATTCCTTCAAGAGACAGCTATCAGCAGGCAGGTGCAAAGTTGGAACGGCTTCAAGACTGAGGACCTGAAAATCAACCCCAGACAAAATACAAAAGTGAATATTTCAAATAAAAATATTACGGCAACCTTCTCTTTTAGCGTCGGGATGCGTCTCGTATAGAATCGCTTCTCGAAATGTCTCATGCAAACCATGTATTTCTTGCAGATCTCTTCCGGCGTCATATTGTCAAGGTTATTGTTTGCAACAAATTTCTGCCAAATATCGAAGCGGTCAGAATCAGTTTTTGGATCAGGGAATCTGTGATATTGTCCTGTGGAGATTTTGTAAACGCTCGTGCAATTTTTGACAGCGCAAACCAGCTCGTCCTGCAAGAAAGACGCGGGTAGAAATCGAAATGAAAAACACACCAAATAGAGTTTTGAGGCGATGGTTTTTTTGTAATCAGCAAAATCACAATAGACGATCAATCATCTTTTAGTGAAAGAGCTTGTTTCATGATTCTTGGTGTACAGTTCATTTGTTAGTAATGTTATATTGAAAGATAGTGTACTTTGTTTCAGCTCTCTAAATAGCGTTGTTTTCCCGTAATTAATTATTAAAAAACAGATTTTTTAGGCCCGTGACGTCACGAGCCTAGTCCCGCTTCTTGTTCGATTGACCAATAGGAACAATACAAATAATGAACGTTGCCAAATTGTAAAATTTCACGGAGAGTATAAACAGTTTCTGATTCATTCGTGATTCAAAGTAAAATCACACTTACTTCCGACAACTAAATCTAAGAAGAAAGTGTAAGAAATGCATTGGAAGGGAGAATTATTCATACACGGGATCCAAATAACACAAAACGCAATAAAAACGTTATTTTTGAAATATCTTCGTCAGTAGACATTTTCATGTTGGTATCACAGAAATTTTAATAATGGAAGTGTATATGAACCCGTTAACGTTTAAATTCATGAAAAAATTCTCCATACGAAATAAAATGTACTCAAAAACCACGGTTCTAAATAGAATTTAACGAGCTATATGGCTTATGAACCCTAATAAAATAAATCAATTATGCATTCATGCCACTCACCAAAAATAAAAAATTCAAAGTTATATATTAGCCATATTGCCACCCAGTCAGCTATCTCTGTTGAATGTACTCTTTCTAATGTTTCATAACTTCGCATTTTTGTTAAAATAATTGAAACTTGGCAACACCGCTGTAGACACGATCAATTTTATTGCTCAACAGACACGCGGACAATTTAAACTCTCGCTTCTCGACTTATTCTTTTTTCTGTAAATATAAAAAGGCATTGGGACGACCGACTAAGCTTGATCAGTATAATATTCCCCTAACTCGATCAGTATCATTTTCAATAGTTTGAAACAAGCCCATTCTTGAGTGATTGATAGAGCTCTGAATGAAATGTCTTTCAATACATATTTACCTTTTCTTCATCTTCTTCAGCATCTGAAACAGAAAATGAAATATTCAGTATGTCGTCTCGAAAATAACTTTGAAATTCTTCTCTTGAAAGTGCTGGCATTGAACACCTGTCATCTGTCATATTCTCACGGAACATATCGAATCTGAAGCTACTTGCCTCTTGATTAACCAAGGCTACTATTTCAGACCATTCAGAACAATGACATAATTGTTGGCAGATGTTATAGTGAATGAGTTACCAGTAATTTAATGCTCAACTTCCACCCGAGTCTTATTTTTGGCCCCAGAATAGTACCTTTTGAATACCCTTTCAGTACGACCAAAGAATACAAACCCCATAGAAGCTCAGAAGTGGTATTTTCATGTCACCTTAAATAAGGTTTTAGTACTTACCCTGACCAACAGAGGGCGATGACAGTACGATGTCAGTATTTAATGTAACTATCAACAGAATTGGGTAGCTAGCAGTCGCCGACAACTAGTCTGACAGATAATATAGAAGTGGGGTTAGTTTCATGCTATTGAAAATGCTCCTGGTTTGCTTATAGACTGATTGAGTCAGGGGTATATTATACTTATCCAGCCTAATCGGACCCAAGATCTCTATATATTTGCAGAAAAAAGAACAATTTGAGAAACAAGAGTTTAAATTGGCCGCGTGTCTGTTGACCAATAAAATTGATCGTGTCTTCAGCTGTGTTGCCAAGTGTATTGGTTTTTTATATCCAATCACAGAACTGAAATATAGTGATCTAATTTGACAGACGCCACTTTTGTTTTTATTATTGTCAACACGGTGTGAATACAACTGTTATTATAATTCGATTTGTTCGTTATAATTTTTTAATTAAAGAACGTTGATTTAGTTGTCGAAAGTGAGAGTGATTTTACTTTGAATCACGAATGAATCAGAAACTGTTTATACGCTCCATGAATTTTACGATTTGGCAATGTTGATTATTTGTATTGTTCCTATTGGTCAATCGAACAAGAAGCGGGACTAGGCCCGTGACGTCACGGGCCTAGAAAATCCGACTTTTAATAATTAAGTACGGAAAAACAACGCTATTTAGAGAGCTGAAACAAAGTATACAATTTTTCAATTTGAAATTACTATCAAATGAACTGTAAACCACAAATCATGAAACAATCCCATCAAAAGCTGACTGGTTTGTCAACGACTGCTACCCATTTCTGTTGATACTCACATTAAATACTGACGAACTGCCATCGCCCTCTGGTGGTCAAGGTAAGTACTAAACATTTTAGGTGACACCAAAATGCACCTTCTAAGCTTCTACAGGCTTTGCATTCTTTGGTAGAACCAGTTAAGTTATTTGATAAGACTTTAGCCAGTTCACAAGAAGAAAGTCAATATTCAGAATGTTGACACCTTCAAAGAACAAAGGGAGGGAATTTCAAGAGACGAATAAATTTGTTGCTAAATTTTTCTTAAACAGACTTCATACTCACTTTCTTTTGCCAAAGCATCCAAGTACTTCTTCAACCTGTCCTTGTAATTATCCCATTCCTTCAAGAGACAGCTGTCAGCAGGCAGGTGCAAAGTTGGAACAGCTTCAAGGCTGAGGACCTGAAAATCAACCCCAGACAAAACACAACAGTGAATTTTTCAAATAAAAATATTACGGCCACCTTCTCTTTCAGCGTCGGGATACTTCTCGTATAGAATCTCTTCTCGAAATGTCTCTTGCAAACCATGTATTTCCTGCAGATCTCTTTGCGCGATATATTATCGAGGTTACTGTTTGCAACCAATTTCCGCCAAATATCGAAGCGTTCAGAATCAGTTCTTGGTTCAGGAAACCTGTGATATTGTCCTGTGGAGGTTTTGTAAACGCTCTTGCAATTTTTTACAGCGCAAATCAGCTCGCCCTGCAAAAAGAAGCGGGTAGAAATCAAACTGGATGATAGTCTTTTGGTGTTCATCAAAATCACAATACAAGTTCTATCATCTTGTAGAGTGAATTTTTGAGTAACGATGCTCGAATAGCAAGTGTCATATTTACCTCTCCTGCATCATCTTCAGCATCTGAAACAGAAGATTAAATATTCAGTATGTTGTCTCGAAAATAACTTTGTGAATTTTCTTTTTCAAAGCGTTGCCCCTGTTGGTTCGTACGGCACTGAATACCTGTCAACTGTCTTGTCATCTCTCATATTGTCACATGGAACACATCAAAGAAGGAGCTACTTGTCTCTTGATTAGCCAAGGCAACTATTTCGAACCATTAAAAAAATTATCCATCAGAATAATGACATAATTCTGGTCTACTCAGAATAGGGAAGTAAAGAAAGAGTACCCACAAAGAGACAGAGGCAACAACAATAAACACCGAACAGCGCCGAAGGGAAGCAAAGACCAATTAAAAAAAGAGAAGAAGAATGACATAATTGTTGGCAGATGTGATATTGAAGGGGTAACCAGTAATTTAACCAGAGTCTTGTTTTTGGCCATTATATGTGACTGTTTTGTAGGTGTTAATTTTTATTTCCGATGTGGAGGTATACTTGGCTAATGACAAAAAACTTCTCAATCAGTTTTTTCTCCAACCCTCACCACAAAGTGTACAAAAAAAATATAACATACCATTGTTGATGACATCTTGAATGATGATGACTTCTCTGTCATTCCCGAACGTTAGCACCGTTTCCACTGTATTCTCTGTCCGAAATTTCTGCGAGGTCATATCAGCTTTGAGGAACTTCTTCGGATGAACGATCGGTATCGAGAGGGATATTAGTTTCGGATCCGGGTACAGATCCGGTTTGGCGTTCTCCAGCAAGAAACCATTTTCATTGAACATCTCCTTCGAGAAATGTTTCGGGCAAATTTTGTAGGCGTAGAAATTTGGGCCGCTATAACTGTATCCGCACGCGGCCATCCAATCCTTGTACCTGGAAGAGAAAGATATAACACCTGATCATCTGAAGGGGCTTCGGCATGAAGAATGCAGTCAAAACCGAAATTCACCTGAATTTGAATGAAATAAAAACACTTCTTGCAATGGAAGCTGCAGAGTCAGACAGAAAGCGATTTCCGGCTACTACCCTAAATGTTGCCGAATATAATCAAACGTTTATCCAGTCCTGCATTAGGATTACTTACTCAATCCTACCAATATATGAACACATACCTGTTAGCTTCTGATGGGAAAAAGAAAAACGGGTTTTCTTCTGTAGCCTTGCTTTTACAGCCTCTGTAGATGCAAGAGTCCGTTAGGATTGGAATCAATTTGATAGGATTGGGTCGCTGCAAAAAATACCATTATATTACCTTGGAACAAAATATGTTACGGTAAAACGCTCACTTTTACTGCACCGGTTTCCACCGCTTCGCCATTTTCCACCACTGAAACAAAGCCGTTGTTTTTCAAATTTACATTGCACTTATCGATATTTTCTTCAAAGACAAACAACAGAATAAGGAGGGAAAAAATGGTTTCTTATTGAGAATTCAATTCAATCAATTCAATTCAATGAAATTCAGTCAGAAAACAGTTCATAAAAAACTATCACTACCTTAGATACTTACGACGTCTCCGATTCTTGGGAACAGCACTGTCCTTGAGTTTGTCCAACGCAGAATTTTCATAATCTGTGAGATCAAAGTGATAGTCGCAAACACCAACATTTCCCAATTTCTCGAGGGTCTCATTCAGAGTCTTTCCTACCAAATCCACTCGTTTACAAGCTTCAAGCCAAATATATAACCTGAAAAAATAACGTAACAGTTATGACATCGCTTCTGGAAGAAAAGTGGACTGTACATCCGTTCGAATTATATCAAGTAGGTTATGTACAGCGCCATCTGCCCGCGAATAGATCAAGCAATAATACCGACAATTCTGTCAAATACAGATCCTGAGCTTGAGAGTTACGAACAAACATACATACACACAGGTGAAGCTAATAAAAGCGTGTTAATAAAAAAGGATACCGTATTATACTCACCTCTGAAAATTATCTGGAAAAGAAAATACTTTCTTCAGGTACCTACGGCTGCTGCCACCGCACTTTCTGAAAATACACTGTTTGATTCGGTTTCCTACATTCGATGTCTGAGGCACTGTCAGCGGAACTGATTCTACGAATAAATGTTGGGAAATATTAGATGAACTACCGGTATAATAAAGAAAAGTTTTCAAATGATATAACCCTCAGATTATCAGATTGCTGACCACGTATATATGTGCGCGCGTTTTTTATATACTTATATTATACACGAGCGCACATATATACACGCAGACAAATATATACACGCGCGCACATATATACATGCGCGCACATACATACGCGCACGCGCATATATACACTAGACAATGTCATCTGCTTGAATATAGGTTTCGGCGGTCAGTAGTATGTTGTCGTTGATGTGACTTGACGCCGGGGCCTCAATCTACCTAGTCTCCAGGTCTCGTCATGAGTTCTCTCTAAGGTCTCAATCCGCCTACTCCTTAATAAGTAATATAAGTACTATTCTGATCATTCCCCCCCTATTCTGATCACTCAGCCTGTTGGGCATCGTCAGTACCGGGCAGACGGTCCTCGACTGAAGACAAAACAACCAAGAAAAGTACTTGATGAAAATAACTGCGTGAACGCAAGCGAGACATAAGTGGAACCACCTATTGGTGTGACACCCAAGTCAACTTGCCAAGTTTTTATGCCGGTGTTGGTGGTTTGACCAATCAACCGACAACTGCAGTGGCAGAAATTTGGGAAGCTAACCTGAAATGCCATCGGAAAACGAATCCACATGTTTCTGTCAACAAATGTTCACTTCGTATTTGACCAACCGAATACAGCGAGTGGCGTGCAATAATAAGAAAAGTCAATTCCTACAAATTGAAAGGGGAGTACCTCAAGGTTCCATCTTGGGACCTCTGCTGTTCCTCATGTATATTAATGACCTACCCCATAATGTGGCTGTACATAACAGATTATCTGTACTCTTTGCAGATAATGCTACATTCACAATCAGTATAGGAAGGGATGAAGATCTCAAAATAGCCCAAGATGATGTCAGACAACAAGCACATACATGGTTCGCCAGCAATGAATTCATACTGAATGATAGTAAAATTGTAAGCCTAAAATTTGATTGTAGGCCAAGTAATTCTGCTAATCAGGCAGAAATGTATGGAAATGTGAAATTTCTAGGTGTACAAATTGACAGTCACCTCCAGTGGTCACAACATGTGAATTTTTTGTGTACTAAACTCTCCGAGGCTGTTTTTGCTATTAAAAAAGTTCGAGACCTTGTAAATCAAAGAGCAGCGCTAACTTTTTATTACTGCCTATTCCATTCACACCTTCAGTATGCTACTTTATCCTGGAGTAATGCAGCTCGAACATACAAAGTTAAACTACTAATTTTTCAAAAGTCTGCCATAAGATGTATTACAAAGTCAAATTGGGAGGCTAGTTGTAGGCCTTTATTTCCGGCTCTAGGAATAATGACTGTTTATGCCTTAATTATATACCACAAACTAATATATATTAAAAATAATATTGAATGATATGAAACTCATGAAGAGATACATGAATATGATACAATCTTGATTATATTCCCAGGACTACAATATATTCTATCATCTATCTTTAGTTATTTGGGTTAAGGTTTGGACGCGTCTATAAAATGTAAAATTTTCTTGAGGCAAATAAAGATGAAATGAAATCAGGAAAGGTTAATGCAGTCAAGCTACTGGAAAATAATTCCATAAAAATCAAAAGATAAATAAGTTTGCATGCCTGTCTTAAACTCGTCGTTTGCGCAGACCTAAGACATCGACGCGTGGGTCTGCGCGTAGGAAAATTCAAACCACAAATCAGCCTTTATGAAATTACTGTATACAAAATACTGTGTTAATGCAGTCAAGCTGCTGGAAAATAATTCCATAAAAATCAAAAGATAAATAGATGAGTAGTATTCTGATCAAAATATATGCGTCATCCGCTTGGATTTCGTGACAAATCAATATTAATTTCGATGATAAGGATCCAAACCCACTGGGTCACAAAGACACTTTTTTTTTTCAAATAGACCACCCATGTCTGTAATCTCACAGCAATTTTTACAAATCACCCTCACCTGGCAAAAACAGAGTAGGAGCCGCCGAATACGTCAAATCGCCTTCTTCGTCGAATGAAGCAGGTTCGAAGTGTATCTCGCACACCCTGTTTCTCAGCAATTCCTTCAGCGGCAGCTTTTTCAGGTCGGGATTTTTGATTAGGTACATCCAAAGATTGAGGTTGTCCTTCTTCTCCACGGGAAACGTGAACATTCTGCCTGTAGTTTTTTTGCAACTCCTAATGCAGCAGACGTTCCAGTATTTCACGCAGGGAAAAGCCCCCTTTCTTAGTTTTGGTTCGTCCACTGCAATCTAGATGTTTGGATGTGTCAGGGTATGAAAGAATTAACGATTGTCTATACGAGAATTCTTGAGATTTCTGGGACATTTCATGATACTTGAGCCACGATAATATTTGACCAATGTCATTTCAATTTCACGTACACCATTTCTATTGTAAATTAAAGTGGTGTCACCAGCAAACATTTGTAATTCACCAAATAACTTACTGTGGCCAAAGAATTGAAATATACATTGAAACAAAACAGGCCCCAGTACTGATCCTTGTGGTACCCCACATATTTCCCCTGAGAAAGCATTTTCTGTCTGAATCTTACCGTATAAAACTTGGTGTTCCACAGGGCTCTAACCTTGGACCTGCTTCATTTTCACTAATTTTAAAACCGTTTTAAGGCATAACAGGATGTGAAGAGGCTTAATAATATAATTTCTCATGATATTTACAAAGCCAGAGAACGATGATGTGAATAAGAGCCCGTTTAAATCAACTACCAACCTCTTCTCCGTTTTTATTAATGATCCTGATGTTGTGCAACACATCGTCTTGAGAGAAATGTTTGTAACAAATCACATGGTTGAAGTCTAACTTGTGTTCCTTATTGTCGATGCACATATCCCATATTTTGAGGGTCGCTTCGTTCTGAGGGACTCCAAAGGCGAACATTTGCTCGTTCTTGTAGATTTTGCAGCCGGGAACAAAGCACGGGTTGATCCGGCACGGATCCTCTGAAAACATTTTACTCTGCTCTCGAAGAAATTCAACTCATAACAAAGAAGCTCACATGTTAGAGACAAGAGTTTGTGGAGTCTAAATGATTGTTAACAGATTCGAAGTCAAAACTGAGGAAGTAATTATTGAAACAACAACAAAAAAGATGATTTTTGGACCATCACACTATAGAAAACATTATCAACCACATTGAAATAAACGAAAAAGCTCACCTTCCAAAGGAAACTCCTGCTGATTGTTAACGACTACCACTTTCTTCAAATCCTGGCCAATTTTAACTTTAGCGGGTGCTAATTTAGCTACTCCCTTGATACCCACGCTTGTACCGTCTGGAACACCCAAAGCCCCCTTCTTATTCTCGCGTGCAGGTGACCGAATGTTTTCTTTGTCACTAGTTGATGCTTTGGAAAGAACACCGGAAGGAGGAGCAGGCGTAGGTGCATCAGTGGGGATTTTCACAGCCGAGGCATTTTTAGACAACAACTCCTTTATTTTCGTTCTGAACTTGACAATTCTTTCTTCAGATGGTGCGTCTGAAGTGGCAGCTGTACCATCATTCACTGACATAACATTGGAAATTTTCATTTTTTTGAAAGGTGCAACTTCCGTTACCTCATCTTCATCTTCGTCAACGTGTATCTCTATAATGTTTCCTGTGTCTCTTTCGATAAATTCCCTGTGATCAAACGACTCATCTTCTGTATCTGAAAGATAATTCAACGCGTGAGTAACGAGTCGCAAGTAGTTGGATGTAGGTATAGAGTGGCCCAAACGAAGACATCCAAAACTTTTTTCGGATCGGTTCCCCCTTAAAGACCTACCTGAATCACCCTCATATGTGTCATGGGATTTTTTGTGGCCTGCAGACAGCGATAATTTTTATGTTTTAACCACTCTGTATGAAATAAGGACTACTTTGTCAAAATATTTGATTCATAGTTTAAAATTCAACTCTACCTTGTTCAAATGTGAATTTATATTGGTGAAACTTTACCTACCTTTCTTTTATTTAGGGAGTTACTTACTAAAAGGGAGTTACCACCTAAAAGAAAACTCAAACATCTTTGTTTGGGCTACTCTGTACTGTTAAGTTTTTAGACATATAAATTAAAACTTGTGTATTCACCATTTTTTTCTTCTATATCATTCTGTTCATCCGTATCACCTGCTTGTCCCTCCAAGTCCTCTTGTTCTTCTATATCACCTTCTTCGTCTTCTTGTTCTTCTGTGCCATCTTCTTGGTCTTCCACATCACCAGCTTGTTCTTCCACATCATATTCTTGTTCCTCCTTGTCACTTTCTTGTTCTTCAATTTCCCATTCTTGCTCTTCCACTTTACCTTCTTCTTCTTCTTCCACTTCTCCTTCTTGTTCTTCTATGTCACCGTCACATTCTTCCATCTCTTGTTCTTCTATGTCACCGTCACATTCTTCCATCTCTTGATACTGTTCTTCTCCGTGATCCTCTGGTGCATTACCATTCTCAGAATACTCTCCTTCTTCATCGCTATCAATTACAAACTCAACTTGGTCCATATTCTCCAAGAGAGATAAACTCAGAGGATCCATTTCTGTAAAAAATATCGTACACATGGAAGTTTATTCAGATACTGAAGATTAATTGAGAAACGAATTACGATTCAGACCTGCTTCAAGCAGATAATTGTTACCTATGCTCTTTATTCTTACCAGTACACTTCGGTTTCTTTCTACATTCCAAGCTCTCAATCGATTCTTGCTCCTTTTGCGATTCTGAATCGAATTCATACTGATGTTCAATAGTTGGCAAAGCATCTTCTTTTAGCTTTTTCTGACTCAAATATCTGTAATGAACATCATTGCCTACTGTTATTTCATCATACATTTCAATATAGTCTTTCTTGAAATGAAGCTGACAAATATAGTCCGTTTCCTTCAAATTCATGCGTAAGGATTTTCTCCAACTCGCTAACTTCCATGACTGCAACAATAAAGAAATTGAGAAATTATCTTTTGATATCATCTTTCTTGATACATACTCTAGCCTGAAAAAATGACATGGGTTCCTGAGAATCTTTTAAACGTTTACGACCACTTGAACAACTCTTGATGGCACAAATTTTTCCCATGATTATGATAATAGTTTAAAGTGTTATATTTGAAAACTATTATATTTATTAACTACGGCAATTTTTAGGTTAGATAAATAAAACAAATCAACAATCAGCTACACATGAATAAATATTCAGAATGGACACTCTCGTGTAGCGATTTTGTCAATTTCGGTGACCTCCACCATTTTCTGTGGACATGGATGACAGCGACACAGCGGCTTTGACATGGAATGACAGATCGAGTTCAAGGAATCGAATGGCGTAAGTGAAAATATCGGAACACGAATTGATCTGTGCTCAGGATGAACGTAATCAGTGTGTATGTGTGTGTGTAAATGAAAATTAGCAATTGAAAGAGAAATCGAAGAGTATAAAAATTTAGGGAATGGGAAATTGTTATGCCGGTATTAGAATTGCAACAAAAAAAGTGAGACATGAGTAGATGGTGGGCACAACTCGAAACATTGCATCATAGCATTTTTACAACTGATCTCGTATTTTCTGATGACATACGGTCTGACTATTTCTCATGAATTTAAGTTTCATCAGTTCTTATTGCTAAAATATGAATCAGATTTCCAATCCTACCGTTTCTCTAAAAAAGCACATATAAATACATAAGTGCGTTCTAGTCCTAAAATATAACTGTGAGTTCTATGACTGTGAGTTCTTACAACAGTTCCGACTGCAAACTCAGAATTCAGTTGCTATCTTGAATATAATCTCCAGTGCTAAGTGAGTGCATATTTTATGTTCCATTGGTAATACTTGTGTCAGTTCACATGTTCCATAGGAAAACTAGATCAATAAGAATTGCACTGCACTTGATGAACATGTAATAAAATATAATAATCTATAATCATCATTTAGATTTAATTAACAATTATTTCTGTCATTCTGTCACTTCGAAATATAAAAAAAATATAAAGTTTTCTGTATTCCAGTGGCCAATTGATGTCTTCTGTTATAGTAGTAGTGTTCTTGATTGACGTGTGCTACAATTTATGTTCTATCGATACTTTCCCGATATTGGAATTTGAAATAGAAATAGGGTCAGTGCGAAAAAATGCATTACTAGTTTTACTAATGGAAAACACTATAAATATAGTTTACAGTTAGCCGCTGTCAAAAATTCTGGTGAGGAGAGGTTAGGAATTGGTTATTTTTGGAACACATCCCTAGATTGTCAGATCTGTCACAAAATACTGTCTACTGTCTATTTTGCTTCTATTCTTGAGTTTAATTTCGTTAGAGTAGGGGCGGTGTGTGAATGTGTGGTGCACTTGCTGCATTTCGATGAAATTTTCACGTTGCTATCAAAACAATTTATCGAAATAATGATGAGAGTAACTTTTTCACTGAATGGCGTAGCTGGCGGATAAGTTTCTATCAAATCTGTGTTGTCTGTGAACTCTAGCGGGCCATGAACGATGGCAGTGTTAGTTTCCAACATAAGTGGACATATTCAAAACCAGTTGAATCGATCTTTAGAACGAATACTGGAAGAAGCGAATCAGAGCGGTGAATTGAAATTGAGCAACAGAAAATTGAAGGATTTCCCGAAAACGAATGAAAAATACAATTTGAGTGACACCGTAATAGCAGGTTGGTAAATTCACTCTCGATTGTCTATCATGAATATTGAGTGTCTTGTTTTATTGAACGTGGTTGAAATATAAATAGTGAATATTGTTTTCATCGATATTTCAGTCATGAATTTGTTGCTTTGTTTCGATTTCACGCGGTTTGTTAGCAGGATGTGGTGTTATCAAACCCTGATAAGGCCTTTTATATTTTTCCACTATTTACTTTTTGTTCATCATTCAGAAATCGGAAAAAAGTGTATATCGAGGCCAAGCTGATTAGGGTTTCAAGAAGGATTATAAATTTATTGTGCCGCATTTCGGTAATTTTTATTTTTAAGCATACTGTTTTTGAGAGGCTTATCTAGTGTACATTATTAGGAGAAGTTAGGTTTTATTATCACAAAATACTTTCACAGATATGATCTATTGAAAATTCAAAAAATAAACAATTTGCCAGTTATTTCTGCCAGTTGAATACTGTAATATTGTTATGCCTTCAGTATCTAGATTTTCCTCACTTAATCAATCCTTACTGTTTCACATCAGTGTGTTTATTTCTTTTGAAAAATCAAATTTTTGTGGTTGGATGAAGATTGTGTGAAATACTTTATGAAAATTGTGTCGAAGAAAAAAAGGGAATTGAAACATTTTATGTTTTTTACCACTTTTATTTGTAACTAACGTTAAGTACTGCAGTTTTGTCCTATGCCATTTTCAAACTTATACATTTAATGTATAAGATGAAAGATGTCAGAAAACTCTTTAAGAAGCCCATAAAAAATGTCGATTCCAAAAAAAAACAGCAAAAATGTTTCGAATATGTTGGAAAAGAAGAGGACAACATGTGGAAATTAGACCGATTCAAATGAGGAAATTGTAGAACGTTTAATCGTAACATTCTACGAAGGTTCATCTGATTTATCTGATGATAACCCCATATTTTTGGTTTATACGTAATATCTTAAACTGTCACACTTATTCAGGATTATATACATGTTTTAAATCGAAATTGTATAGCAATAATACATATGCATAAGCTAATATAGTTTCAAGCAGTAGTCTTGATTAAAAACCAATACGACGCCACTGGATGTAATGAAACAACCCGAACGGTTATAAAATCTTTTGTTTGCCACCCGTGCACAATACTAAAATCAGGTGGACCTGGTAAAGTATTATAAACCGGCCTGTAACAGCTGTAGCAAATCATAACGGAATCACAAAGTTTTGCTTGATCACTCTGCAGACAGTGCAGGGATTTTACATGATGCGAAATTTAGTTTAGTACAAATTCATTTTCATCAAACATGGCTACATCTCCCGAGAAAAAGTTTTGTTTTCAGAGCGGTGAGAATTCATAAATATCAGGAACAGGGACGGATTTGGAAGTCTGAAGGCTCTGAGGCGACGACGGAGGGAAAGCCCTAATTAATAATTATTTTTCGGGTTTTTTCTTTACTTGTTTCATTTCTCTTCAACTCATGCGTACAATTTACAAATTACAGTGAACTGACACTTGCAATCAGAGCTTTCTGATATATTGATAACAATATTACTGTTTGTACAACCGACTGACGGACTATTATGTTTGTACAACCGACTAACCGACTGCCTGACTCACTGTCCGAAAGACTGACTCACCGACGGGCTGGCTGATTCGCTGGCTGGTTGACTCACCGACTGACTCACTGACTCAATGACTAACATACTAACGCAATCTGAGCTTAACTGATATATCGATAATAATATTTTTATGTTTGTACAACCGACTGACTGACTTACTGTCCGACCGACTGACTCACCGACCCACTGGGTAACTCGCCGACTGACTGACTCAATGACTGACATACTCAATATTATTGTTTGTACAAGTATTCTTAGTACAAATGCAAACAAAATGTTTGGGAGGAAAAACGTAAAAGTTGATGGATCGTCGAAATTTTGATATTTTTTCATCTTCTTTGTGGGCCTCCACAGAAGGCCTCGTGATAGTAGCCCCGCCTGCTCTCCTCTGGCCCGGCCCTGGCCAGGAATATTGGAGTACGTAAATAATTCCTCGAACTCTTTCCTCGGCTGTACCTTTCGAATGAAACGCTCCAACTCAATTTGAATAGGAATAATTTCGAAAACAATGAAACAATTATTCGTGTGTTCGCAATCGAAGATCGAGGGGTTGGTGGTTCCCATAATTTTCCATTGTTTCCAAGGTTGACTGACGTACGCGGAGGAAGTGCGCCTATCTGGACGCCATTCGCGGCTCTCGACCTTAACGAAACTTTTCTTGGGGACGTGGACTTTTTTCGTGATGGGTACAGGTGACGCCGGTCGACAGGAAATCTTCGATNTCGCTGCACAAAATATAAATTTCAAATTTCCAACTAATAAGTCAGTTTAAATGACAATTTGACAATTGACATTTATCAACACAAATAAGCGTTCTAGCAGGACATGAATCCCAAACTATTTGCAACCAGTCTCACGGCATACATGCGCAGTTGGCCAGTCCATAACACTAGCTTCAAACCATCCGAAATTTCTTGCTAGAACAAACCTAAAATAAACCAGAGCTCTCGAGTTATTTAAGGAATTGCGAGTGCAGAAGTGCCGGATTGCATACAATAATAAACAGAAACTCAGAATCGAGATATAGGAGGTCTGTGCTAGACGAGTAGTTGCGATTCAAAACAACCATTTCATTGTTGAGTCAGGGATGGGTTTTCCTTCCGATTTGGATGCGCCTGTGGGTTCTAATAATTTTGCTAGTCCTGACTCTGATGAGTCAGAGTTGAGACTTGGCACATTTGATTCCACCAAGAGCGGTATATATGTTAGAAATCACACGTTAAAAGGTAAGACCTCGTTAATCCTTAGCTCGCACAAGTTTCTACTTCTGAGGGTTGTCGTTCGTAGGGGTGCGACAGCTGGTTAACGGAAAAACAGATTTTAAACAGATCCTAACAGATGTCAGAAATACGCGACGTACTCTGACTGCTCATCGTTTTGAGGTTTAACTCAGTACACCTCGAACTTCACTGTTTAAGAAGTCTTTCATTTGGAGAGCTGCTTTTATGTGGAAAAAACCTCCTGAGAAGGTTTTTCCAAATGGATTTAATCTCCAACGATTCAAATCCAATGTGAATCGTGTTCGTGTTTCGTCCTTAAAAAAATCACTGACTGACTGACTCTCCGACTGACTGGCTGACTCACCGAGCGACTGACTTGACTCCTAACTGACTGACATTGACTGACTGATTCACTGACTGCCCGAATCTCTGGCTGACTCACGGACTGACCCATTAACTGACCGACCGAACGACTCATTGACTGACCGAATGACTGGCTGACTGACTAACCGACTGATTGACTCGCTGACCGTCCGACTGACTCACCGACGAGTTGACTGACTCGTTGGCTGATTGACTCAATGACTGAATAACCGACTGAATCATCGACTCCCTGACCGACTGACTCACTTCCTGATTGGCTGATGGACTAACTGACTGACGGACTGATCCACCGACTGACGGACTGATCCACCGACTGACTGACTGATTCACTGACCAACTGACTGATGAGCTGACCGACATACTAAGTGACTCGCTGACTGACTCGTCGACGAACTTACTGACTGAGTCACTGACTGACTGACTGACTCAATGACTAAGATACTAACCGAAGGACTGATCGTGGCTGATGGACTGACTCACTGACTGACGGACCGATCCGCCAACTGGCTGACTGATTCACTGACCAATTGACTCACTGACTGACTCACCGACTGATTGACAAGCTGATTGACTCACCGACTGACCAACTGACTGACTCAGCCACTAACTGACTGACTGTCTCAATGAATGACATACTGACTGACTGACTGATTGAATACCAACTGGCTCATCGACTGACTGACTTCCAGACTGGCTGAATCATTGATTGACTCACTGATTGTTTCACCGACCGACTGACTCACCAAATGACTAACTTCCTTACTGAATTAGCGACTGACTTACTATCTGATCAACCGACCGACTAACTGACTACTGACTGACGTACTCACCGACTGGCTGGCTGACTGATTCACTGGCTAACTCACTGACTGACTCGCAGACTGACTCACTGACTGACTGACTAACATATTGACTGACTCACAGACTGAATGACTAGAGAATCACAGCAATCGGTTTTACGTGCGGCTATAGATGTTTCACCTCAAAGTGTTTATGATCATTGTTTAATCATAAACTTGGAGAGTGCTGTTAATTTTCGTCAGGTAACGGGTCAGTCTATTTATAATTGTATTTCAATTTTTTTATAATCACTGCACTTCACTTGGTTGCCGATACAATAACCATAAATTATCGCCTGCAATGTTTAGAATTATAGCGACATTAAAACTCTTCAATTTAGCGCTACGTTTCCATTATAGATAAACATTCGGTTTATTACAAATTCATTTCAAACCTCTGGGGAAGTCGTTAAATAAAGTTTGTTTAAACATACTTTGCTATTTGTAGACGTTCGGATATCGATCAATAAATTCAAATAAACATCCTCAATTTCACGACTTTGTTAGTAAACGATGAATTCTTCCAGTCAATCATTAGATGAGTTTCTATGAGTCTCCTTCAAATTGTAATATCTCGGTGAAAACTTATTCAATTCAATCGAAATAAGCGCCACTTGAATCAGTGCACGTTTGCCAACGTAACACAAGTAGATTGATTCCGTCAGCAAAAAAGTTGGGTGCTCGGAAATCGATGAAGTCGACCGTCGAATCCTTTGATACTACAGCACTGAACGCGTTGGATGAGAATCTCATCCTAAGAGCGGTTGAAGGTCCCCGGCAACTCGGACGGATCACGGGTAAAAGAGTCAACTGGTTTTTTTATTCTACTGTGGCTTCGGTTCAATTTGAATTCATAGAGAAAAATTGGCAGAAAAACGCCTAACGACATCATATAGTAATTAAGCTGAATGAACGACCGAGTCGTATATCAGGTNTTAGAAAACGACGTTGTACTGATTCAGCTTTCTTTGTATACAACTGATGAGATGGATTCCAGATTATGGATGCATATTCTAATTTTGATCTGACGAAAGCCTAGTATAAGGTTTTCGATGTAGATGGATCCGAGAAATCTCTGGAAATTCGTGCGGTAAATCCATACATTCTGTTTGCAGCAGACAGAATGGCATCAATGTGTGGTACGAAGGAAAGTTTTGTGTTGAAGGTAACACCAAGATCGGTGAATGTGGAATATTGTTTATTAAATATGGATATGAAAATGGACGATTTTTCAGTGTGTGCGTCATTACATTACATTTACTCGCGCTTAAAGGAAGAGTTAAAGACAGTCGTCGATGGCATTGATCTCACAATATAATTTCAGGTCATCCGCGTATATCAAACAGTTGATGTCAATGACCCCAACTATGGCGTTTATGAAGGCGTTAAAGAGAAGTGGACCTAGGTTGCTTCCTTGTGGAACACGCGAAGTAGCTGCTTATTCCACGGACTTGAAGCCATTGAATATAACAAACTGACGCCTGTCAGTGGAGTATGATATAAAAAGTTGGTTCAGGGTCAGAGAAAAGCCATACCTGTACAATTTCGATAGCAGTAATCCGTGATCAAGTCTGTCAAACGCCTTAGAGAAGTCCGTATATATGACATCAGTTTGGGATCTCTCATCAATGGTTTCAGAAATATATTGGGTGACATCGGAAAGGTTGGTGATTGTCGAGCGACCTTTCATATAACCTGCTATATATGAGGATTTCAAACACTTTGGCGAAGTTGCATATTATTGATATGGGTCTATAATTACAGACATCAAATTTCTTCGAAGTAATGAATGTTCAAGACTTGTGAATATGGAAGGTCATCGCTCAATTCGGTTGGAGAGTTGGTGATATGTGATTTTGAGAAAAAATCAGCAAAGCTATTAAAAATATCTAAAGGAGTATCTAAAGATTGTCCTTCGTATGACTTATCATTTCAACCTCTTTCTTTAAAAAATCATTTAAATACTTAAAAAAGAGGAATGAAATAATGCATTCAACATTTATAGGGATTCGTTTCTATTTCACCATTTGACAACATCGATTATAGCTAATAAAGGATAACAAATCTGTTACCTGTATGAGACAAACAAAGATGACATATTCCAGAGGCGTGCTGTTCTGTTTACTTATGTTCCGGGTTCCGAGACATTCTGTGACATATGACATTTTGTGCACCTAACCTATCTTCCTCTATATAAATAAATAACAAAACAACTGTTGTTTATGTGGCTTGTGGAGGTGGTATTGAACTATAATTTATATTTTGCCTTAATTGTTGATTTATAAAGATAATTTTCCTTTTTTAAAGTAGAATATCTAGGTACGTATAAATTATTTCAACTTGATATAGACGATGTTGCCAATATGTGAATTAAAAACAAATTCCTTTAAAAATTAAAACCCAACATTTGAAACATCAATTTGAATACTTTTCGAAGTGAATTTGAAAAAAATATTTGTTTGTTGACAGTGGCATACGGTGATCGTACTCTGAGTCAGAAAAATGTTTACAAGTGGTACAAAAGTTTCACAGAAGGTCAGGAAGATGTGAGTGACGACGCTCTCGTGCGGCAAAAAATCAACGAATAGAACCATACTTTTATTACTGAAGATGTCACTTGGGTTGGTGAAACTTGCGTTAAAAGTAATTTTTCGTGTTTGTTCAAGTTGGCCTGCGTTCAATTTCTATAAACCCAAGTTTTCATTTCCATATTCATTGTTCTCTGACGTTCGCTGGACAGGAAGCAACCAATAAATACCACGCGAGACGTTTCATGAATATAAAGAGTCGCGGACGCATTAATCAATTGTTGAAAAATCCTCGAACTTTGCCGAATTGTTGAGTGAGCGTTGAGGAAAACATGTATTCGTTCAAATATGGATCGTAATGACATGTACTTGTATAAAAATGTGTTTTTTTTAAGTTCAGGGTCTAAATTCATGGAAATAAATGGATTTTTTGACAGGCTTTATATTAGCTCCACCTGTATGTATGTTTGTTTGTAACTCTCAAGGTCAGGATCTGTATTTGACAGAATTATCGATATTATTGTTTGATCTATTCGCGGACAGATGGCGCTGTACGTAATCTCCTTGATATAATTCGAACTTACTTTACGTGTAATAAATAAAGTTCAGAAAGACTAAAAAACACGCTTTTATAGCATACGAAACTAAAATAAATATAGTTTAAAAAAAAATCAACTTTTTATTTCGAAGAAACGACAGCATGAGTATTAAACTCGTTGAATTTTACGTTAATTGACGATATCCAAAGATGGCCAATACTAGAATTTCTGAACAGCATGTATACACACAGTCCTTTAAAAAAGCATATATACACAAAGGCCTTTCAAAAAGTATATACACACAAAAATGCCTTTTAAAAAGTATACAGCCCTTTTGAACAGCATGTATACATACAGCCATTTGAAAAGCATATTTACATACAGTCCTTTGTATGCTTTTCAATACATACATTCCTTTTAAAAAGTATATATACATATAGGCCTTTTGAACAGCATGTGAACATACACTCCTTTCAAGAAACATATGTACATACGTTCCTTTTAAAAGGGTATATACATGCAGTCCTTTTACAAAGCATATGAGATCTGTTCAAAAAATAAGGCGAAAAATATGTATTTGTTCATGAATTTATACTCCTGTCTCCTTCAAAATAGTGCCCCCCTCATATAATACACTTCCTTCTGAACAATACAGTCCTTTCAAAAAGCATATATACGTATAGTCCTTTTTAAAAGCATATATGCATAAAGTCCTTTTGAAAAGCATATATACATATATTATTTCTAAAAGGAATATATACATACAGTCCTTTTGAATATGAACAGTATGTATACACACATATAGTCATTTTAAAAAGATATATACATATAGTCCTTTTACAAAGCATACATATACAGCTCTTTTAAACAGTGTATATATATATATGGTCCTTTTTGAAAGCATATATACTTGAAGTCCTTTCAGAAAGCCTATTAAAAACAGTCCTTTCAAAAGGCATATGTATATGCAGTCCTTTTGAAAAGCATATATACATTGTCTTTTTTTTGAATCATATATACAGTATTGGAACGAATATGTACAGATCATTCAATTTTTTGCATTACATTGAATATATTATGCCGACATAAAGTTGTGGCTTGTGGCGTGGTTAAGTTGTTAGAAATGCAAGTTTCTAAATGCACAGAATGGAAGTTCCATGAAGTTATTATGTCATGTTTATTCCAATCGGATTTGATCTTGACATAGAAGCCCAATGAAAGTTAGCAAATACGTTTGAAAATGAATTTACGGGTTTCTTTGAAGAAACGACAGCCTAAGTTTTAAACTTGTTGGATTTTACGTTGATTGGCGATCCTAGAAGCAAGCAGTTCTGAAATGCACTTTTTTGGAATGTCCTTGAGCTTTCTCTGCGATTCAGTTCGTATCCCTTCAATCGTAGAAAAACGCCGCCCGTTCATGGTTCTTTTCAATCTTGGAAAAAGAAAAAGTCTCAGGGAGACAAATCTGGTGAATATCGTGGCTGTGGCCTGATTTCGGTATTGTTTTTGGTCAAAATTCAGTGATTTTGGAACGAACTTTGCTGCCAAACGCTTCATGCCGAAAGTTTCTGAAAAAACTATGTATTCCCTAACGGTAATTCGTAGTTTTCAGAGGGGAGCAGTGTAATTTTATCCTCCATATCTTCCCCGAACGCTTTGTTGAAAGGTTATTTTGTTTAAATAATCATTACCACACAGAAAAATTCACATAACAATTCACTTATTTTTAAATTGTAAGCATTCTGCATACGTATTTGAGATTTATTGGCTTTCTGTCAATAATGATTTTCTAGTAGTGCTTGTGTTTTGTCTTTGAAAAAACTTCTGTGCCTAAATTATTGTTATTATGGACATTATCGTTTTGGAAACTAATATTGTTATTCCAATATAATAATTTCTTCAGTGAATCGGGCTGTGAGAAGTTTTTCGAGAGTAATTTTTCCCTCCCTTCTTATCCGTTTGATCAGAGGCACCACCCGATCGATAAGGAACTATTCTTAGAAAACCCCGCGTATCGATTCGAAGATATTTTTACATCTAAAATGTCAGGTCGCGGGTTGAAACGAATGACTCCGTTTTATTTTCTGGTCCTTTATATTGGACCGAAACCAGAAATCGGGATTTATTGTTTGCTTACTTTTGGATGGTCGCCAATATATAGAAACGGAAAGCTTTCAAATTATGAAACGAATTGAAGTGCGTGTCAGTAATTTTAGCACTGATTCGAAGCATATTATTTCCACCAGCAAAAGGTTTTCTATTTTGTTACCTGTTCAGAATGCATTGCGATTCGTATGTTCCGATAATTGTTTTCCGCATCTATATGATTAAACAACATCACAGGAGTAGATAACATTACTTAGATTGATTTTTTTTGTAGATCTCTCCAAGAATCGTTTTTGCGAGCTCCCCGAAGAAGTGTTGTCGTTTCATTTCTTAGAGAAGCTCCACTGCTACCACAATGCCATCCGATGTATCCCGGATACCGTGAGTAGTCTTCAGTGTTTGAATTTCTTGGACCTGAGCAGGAACCAACTGACCACTCTACCGAGAGAATTATGCCATCTACCGATACAGGTGAGAAATTATCGTTTAGAATATGGTGAAGAAAAGTCGTAGTAGAAAATTGATGAAGGATGCAATTCTAGTTGGAAAATGTTGGTAATACTAACAGTCAACAATATAATACCGTTTGAATTATGAATACCATGTCTTTTACATACAGTCCTTTTTCAGAGCATATATACATAGGTACAGTCCTTCTGAACAGCATGTATATACACAGTTCTTTTAAAAAGCATATAAACAAAGCTCTTTTAAGAAGCATACAGTCCTTTTGAACAACATGTATACATACAGTCCTTTTCAAAAAGTATATATACATACACTCTTTTCAAAAAGAATATATACGTACAGTCCTTTTGAACAGCATGTATACATACAGTTCAAAAAACAGTAGCTAGATTATTGTTAACGAAAGTGTATCAAGTTCTTCAGAATAGAAGAAAGTCGTAGTAGAAAATTGATGAAAGATACAATTCTAATAGAGAAATGTTGGTAATTCTAACAGTCAACAATACATTTTGAATTATGAATACATGTCTTTTACAGTCCTTTTTTTTTACCGTATACACATACAGTTCTTCTGAACAGCATGTATACACACAGTCCTTTAAAAAAGCATATATACACAAAGGCCTTTCAAAAAGTATATACACACAAAAATGCCTTTTAAAAAGTATACAGCCCTTTTGAACAGCATGTATACATACAGCCATTTGAAAAGCATATTTACATACAGTCCTTTGTATGCTTTTCAATACATACATTCCTTTTAAAAAGTATATATACATATAGGCCTTTTGAACAGCAGTCATTTCAAGAAACATATGTAGATATGTTCCTTTTAAAAGGATATATACATGCAGTCCTTTTACAAAGCATATATATACAAGGTCCTTAAAACATGTATATACAGTCCTTTCAAAGTGTATATATATATAGAGTCCTTTCAAACATCGTGTATATATACACACTCCGTTTAAATAGCGTATATATATATACAGTCCTTTTAAAAAGCATATTTACATACAGTCCTTTTGAAAAGCGTATATACATTGTCTTTTGTTAAATCATATATACCGTAATGGAACGAATATGTACTATCGCATTATTCAAACCGTAAAAACGTTTTGTAAGTGAGCATGGATATCTTCCTTGAGGCTCCTCAAGGCGGTTCGTTGCAAAGCCAAACTAAGGCATCGACCGCCGAACGAGATTCGTTCTCTGCCTTTCACTGGATCTGTTGTAGGTTCATTCGTGGTATATTAATGATTAGAGATTTCTTCTGATTCACCTTACTCATTTCTTTCTGAAAATTCCTGGTGTAGATTTGTTTCCACAAACGGAAAACCCCCCATGTCTCACACGTGTATCGCAGTTATCCGCAACAGTGTAAAACAGCCGAATACCGACCTTGTGAGTAATAAATAATTCATTATAAACTCGACGCCGAAACAGTTTTGAACAAAAAAGAAATACTATAAACATTCGATAGTAATGATCTCATCTCGAGATGGTGTTTAAGAATCCAGACTCTAATGTATGACTTCTGAGAAATTAAAACGTAGACACTAAATAACTTGACGGTTTTGTTATTAGCGCCAGTCCGTTGTTGAAGATGTCTGGTTTTCAATGCTGAACCAATTTCAATTTCGCTTTAAATGGACTCGCGAAATATTCGCGAATTTTGATTGAAATATTGTTATTATTAGTTACTTTCACACACATGGAGCTTTCTCGATATTTATTTCGTGAAAGAAGGTCTTCAGGCCATAACTTTCTCGACACTCATACGATCGAGTCGTACATATATCAAGAACCAGTAGCCTAGGGCGATTTTTTTTACATTGGCCCTCTCAAGATTCTTCACAGATGTTTGATAACTTTATTGTCCAATTTTCTGATTGATTCGGTCGTTAATTGATGAAGATCCATAGTAATTTATCGATCGATAAAATAAAACATTGCAACATATAGTTGCTATATCGTTTCTTTGTGAAATGATGATGGATTTTTTCCCCAACAAAAACAATATCTGGTTTTAAGTCTCATACCCGTATTTAAAACTTCCCAGTTGGAATAAAGTTATTTAAAAAAAGGGAATAATTCACACAATTACAATCAAATATTACCGAAACATCCCGAAATATAAAATTGAATTCAGTTTCTCAGTATGAAGTGAACGTCGACGATACAAAAACTACAACAAAAAAATACAGGTCTGCATTTAAAAATTCAAAGATGGGGGTGGCCCAAGTCAGATGACACCCTGTATAAAAGATTCATGGACATATTCTGATAGCCCACATCAAGTGCCAATAGCAAAATGTAGACAGATTTTCAATATGTCTGCGAATAAAGAAGATATAGGCAAAAAAATAATTTGGTATTTTTTTGTTTTTCCTGTATATCTCCAGAACCAAAAGAGCTATATTCGATTTTTTTACATCATCGAATAGGTCTCTAAAATACGCAACTTTGCCACACTCCGACTTTCTATCTCTTATCGTTTACGAGATCCCCATGTGCAGAAACGAATTTGAATAGCCCTGTATATAGAGAATAGCAAAGGGCCTGATGTGGATCCGTGAGGTATTCCTGATATAAGAGACAAAGGGTTTGTTACTCTCTCGCCTAATTTGAAGCTCTGCTACTTGTTTACTAACAGAAGAATTGGCTGAAACTGTAAGGTTTCAGTTTTTGCATCACAATATGTTATCCAAAGTATCAAAAGTATTTTTTTATTCCAGAAGTATGAGACTAGCAATGCAATTGTTATCGATATCCCTCGTATGTGAGGCTGGTTGCCGCCACTCTCCACATACTTGGTTAACGTAGGTTTCCGTAGCTCAACGACAGAAAAATATTTACTGTTAAACCCCGCGAGCGTGTTGCAATGTTTTCTGTGAATCACTATGAAAATTGCGCCTAAATTTTAATAGGACAATCTGTTAGATTGTTTCACTAAAAGTGTTAAAGAACACAGACACAATTTTTCCCTACAGTCTTTGTATTTTTCAGATTCTGTTGGTATCAAACAACACTCTCTCCTCCCTACCAGACGAGCTGTGTCGTATGTCCCAGCTGACGGAGCTCGACGCTTCCTGCAACCAGCTTACCCACCTTCCGCCACGACTGGGCGACCTTAAGCTGCTGCAGTCGCTCGTCCTGAGGAACAACCTGCTTCTGGCTGTGCCCGTAGAACTTACCTGTCTGAAACTCGTCAGGTTGGACCTTCGAGCCAACAGGATAAGCAACCTTCCGGTCGAAATGAGAGAAATGTCGAGTCTGATTGAGTTGTCCGTCGAAGATAACCCCCTAACTAGTCCCCCGGCGAGTGTAAGTTGAAAATGGATTGATTGTTTGCTCTTACTTTTGTATTTTACACTTCAGCATCGACTACTTGCTCATTAGCTTCGTGTTCTGGGAAGGTTATGCCCTTGGAACTCTGTATGATCAGTCATTAGGAAAGAAGACCCTCCTACAACCACATAATGGGTGATTTTTTTGCTGGTTTCTTTTTGGCAACACTGTTTTTGACAGATCACGCGTAAATCGTGACTTGTGTCATTGTCAAACTTGTAATTTAACCATTACATTAACAACGCTTGCTAATTATTGAATTTTATTATCAAAATTCATGCTCGGTGAAGAAAGTGCATCGTGCACTTCTTTCAATTTATAGGCAGCTTCGTCGGCCTACTGAGGGAGCTATTCGGAAGCTTGTGGCTAAATTTCGAACCTAGTTTACATTATTGGACATTAAACCACCAACACGCATACGTAGGGACCGAAGAAAATATTGCGGCTGTATCCGCCAGTGTTCGTCATGACCGTGACACGTCGATTCGCCGCCGTTCGCAGCAATTGGGCTTCTGTTACTCCACTACATGGAAAATTTTGCGAAAGGATTTGGGTGTAAAACCTTATAAGATACAGCTGGTGCAAGAATTGAAGCCACACGACGAAACAATAGCCCAATTAAGAGCCGCCTTCAGTGAATAGTTTATCTCACGTTTGGGGCCCGTAAATTGACCGCCTAGATCGTGTGATTTAACGCCTTTGGATTATTTCTTGTGGGGTCATGTTAATGCTCATGTCTACAGGGTTAAACCAGCGACGACTGACGCTTTGGAAGCCAATATTGAAGCATTTATACGTGAAATACCGGTCGATATGTTAGAGAGAGTGTGCCAAAATTGGACCTTGCACATGGGTCATCTGAAGCGGAGCCGTGGACAACATTTGCATGAAATCATCTTCAAACATTAAATTATATTGATCGTTTTATCGATTCCAATAAAGATTTCATCAAATTTTTCAAATTTTTTGTGTTGTTTTGAAAATCAAATCGTATACCTCTTGAAAAATCACCCGTTATTAAGTTCGTCTAATTAGATAATCTCTAAATTATAACAATATTTGTCTATTTATACCAGTATCTTCCAGTGTAGTTAGTAATAGTTGTAATACATTGGTAATTAGATCAGTAGCAACCATAGTTGTTTATTATAACAGAAATTTATCGAGTCGAGGTTAGAAACAAGTCTAGTACTTCAGACATGGAATCCGTCAGATAATTATCAGTAACGAGTTTCCGAAAACCTATTTCAGTTATGCAAACGCGGCAGAGTCCACATCTTCAAGTACTTAGAATTAGAAGCCATGAAATTCGACAGGAGAATAGACTGCGGCAACGGAACACTCAGCAGGAGATCGCGAAAAAACGGAGGAGGATCATCCTCGATACCTCTGCAGTTCGCCGACAGGCTGAAGCACAAGCGACAGAACGTAGACAGCGGCTACAGCACAAGCAGCGACTGTTACGAGAAACGCTGGTCGCAAGAAATGAACGGTAAAGTCATGGAGGTGTATCTCCGTTATTTATATAACCGAAATTTTGGTTTTAGTGAAAGATGCGGACCAAAACGGAACCCAGTCCACGCTGTCGACTCCTTCCACGATATCCCCGGCACCCGAATGCCATTCGGAGGAGGACTTCTCCAAGTCGAACGAGTACGATAAGCTGGACGGGCAAAAACCGAGGGACCATGTTGGGTAAGTACATATTCGTCGCAGGGTTTACTGCATCGGTGTTATTAATAAATTAACAGCGGCATTTCGACACTTCTAACTTGCCTGGTGTGATTTTTCCAGTGTACGTCTAAGTCCGTGTCCTGATATCGTTTCTAACGGCAATGGAATTGAGGATAAAAAGCCTATGCACCAAATTCAGACTTATAGGTAACTATTACCTCAGGAATGCGGGGTGTTTTGTCGGAAAATAGAGTGTGTCTCGTTGGAAATTAGGTTTGCCTTCGCTATCAAAACGGTAGTCTACGTTATCGTTGAATTCGATTTTCTTTCTTTGTTTGTTTTGTGGTTGCTTAACGTATCCATTCAACTAGAAATGAGCCTCGTTGCTGCACACAATTTTTCGATGAAAATGTGGATCTTCCTCCAACATTTCCAGCGCCCATTCACCAAATGTTAGACGTTTTGGGAGGTCGTGTGGCTTCAATTCTTGCACCAGCTGTATCTCATAAGGTTTTACACCCAAATCCTTTCGCAAAATTTTCCACGTAGTGGAGTAACAGAAGCCCAATTGCTGCGAACGGCGGCGAATCGACATTTCACGGTCATCACGAACACTGGCGGATACAGCCGCCATATTTCCTTCGGTCCTCACTCTAAGTATGTGTGTTGGTGGTTTAATGTCCAATAATGTAAACTAGGTTCGAAATTTTGTAATTCTGAGAAGCCAGTTTATTTTAGCGTTCCTCGAGACACATTGTTATTTTATCAAACGTTTCTGCTTCAATCGCAAAACACTCCCCATTCATGAAATCGTACGGTGTGCTCCTACAACTTGGTGACGTGAAACCTTTCCTTTCAGGGAATACAAAGAAGCCCTGAAACAGCAGAGGGCCCAAGACGTGCCTTCCATATACAGAACAAAAGACGACCAAAGTTATAAAACGGAACCAAATACCCCCACCCACAATCTCTCCCCCTCGCAAACCATGGCGACCTCCCGCTCCGACCCCACTCCCCTCAACTCCGCCTTCGGTAGCCCGAAAACCGTTTTCGACGACACTAGTCCCAAGAAACCCGTTCAAAAAGTCACCCCCTCCAGAACGTACGTGAACGGTGTCTGCGAGAGCAAAAACGGCTCGCCGGTCAGGATAACGTCGTACATGAAACCAAAGTCTCCGATGAAAGGTCCGAGCGACTTCATGTCGCACGACAACGTGCCTCCGAATAAGTCTGTGATCACCAACGGGAAAGCTTCGAGTCTCAAGGGGTACGCGAGCTCGACTCCCAAGTCTTCGAGCGGCTCAAAAGCGTCTAGGAACATAAGCTGGGACCACGACGTTCCGACCGATAAAATGTCTTTCACCATGAGGAGGGAAATCGACAAAGCTAAGGAGGAGACGGATCTCATCAATCAGCTGAGAAATGTAAGTGTTTGCTTGATTTTTGGGGGTTGTTGGTGTGTATTTCTCAGAGTTTTAACTCGCAACAGGAAAATGATGATATGACTGCCCCACGTTGGGCGCCGTGAGAATTGAATTCTTACTTAGTATCTTGAGATTCGCCAATAACAAGATGAAGGTGGCTGGTTTAATCAGCACGACTGTTCTCATTATGAAAATGGTATCAAAGCTTTCCAACATTGCTAGCAGAAGAGTGTGAAGCTAAAAGGAAATCAGATTTGAGTTTTTTTTTTCGTGAACTTTCAGTATTCTAAAAATTTCATCATTCCACCAATTAACTCATCCATATATTGAGTGACTTTCGTCATTTGGCTTGTGAACAGATTAATTCCATCAGAGGTAGCCCATTATCATGATACTATTAGTTTTTGGCACGTTCAACTTAGAGTATTCTGTTGCCTCATTAATTGATTCTTTCAGATCATTGAAAGTCGGTTGAAAATGGCTCTACCTGAAGATCTGGCGCCATCTTTGACAGACGGTGTGGTTTTATGCCATCTGGCAAACTATATCAGGCCTCGATCCGTGGCTAGCATTCACGTTCCTTCTCCAGCAGTTGTGAGTATGATTTCATTAATAATTGATCTTGATCTCAATATGTTTACTTTTCTTCAACAGCCGAAGTTGACCATGGCCAGATGTAGAAGAAATGTTGACAATTTCATTGAGGCTTGTCGAAAGATTGGTGTTGATGAGGTGAGTTTCGTAATTTTCTTGTTAAATGTAAAAATTTCATATATAATGTATGCTTATTGTTATAATTTAACAAATAGCAACAAATTCTTTGGAGAAGATTATCCTGCAAATATTATAATGTCAAATAATATGTGTCAATGTCAAAGATATGTTTAGTCAATGTTTATTTTCGTATTGTTTTCATATTGATTTTCAATGAGCTGTTGTCTGGCTAATAATTATAATAATATTGACAGGCTCATTCAAACACATTTTCGATTAAATCGTCTGGTGCTAATGAATAAAGGAGTGCCGTACGAATTGCCAACCTTGAAATTATATGAAAAATTACAGTCCATCAAATTGCACCACCTCTTATTTAACTTTGTTCAGATAGAGCCTGGAGTAATCAATATGTAACATTAGTTTTTTTTGTAATCATTTGGCTTATATTATTCATTTATATGAAAATTTAGAGCGTATGTAGTTTTTCTAAGTTGGCTACCCTGTTTATTTGTCTCCAGTGTCAGCTGTCATGTTGATTGTTTACACCGTTATCTCAACTGAATATTGAAGATATTGAAAACAGTTGGTTGGGTAACTAATGTTTGGATACTAATGGAAAATACAATGAAAACAGCAAATAAAACTCAACAGTGGACAATATATCAACTTCATATGACATCAATGACAAATATACAGGGTATCCAACTCAGAAAAAATACATGTACTGCAAAAAAAATACTCATCAATATGGACAATAAAATGAAAACGCGCTCTATCCCAACCAAGGAAAATAATTGAAAGTAATATAGCTGCAAGAGTTCTGAGCCATTCCTTATGGAAAAACACGTGCAAATTTGAGCAGGTTCATTCTGGCGTTTTTCGGACCTCAGGCCGACTTCACACGGAAGGGGCAAAGGGCAGCGCCTCGTCTCTGCCAGACGTCCATTATGTGTGAACTGAGCCTTAGCCTTCAATGCCCAATTCAGACCACCTCCACTTTTCGTCATTACCCAGTCGACCAATCAGAAGCTACCGGGCATACAGCGTGATATTCAAACCAGTAGATGAACAATGTATGTACGAGAACACTCCAAGGTCGTGCGTCGCTGGTGTTTCAGAGAGAGACTCTCAGTGAGTGAAAGAGAGAAACGTATGACGTCATCGACGCAGGACCTTGAAGTGTGCTCGTACATACATTGTTCATCAAACTGGTTTGTCTGTAATTGCGGTAGCTTCTGATTGGTCGACTGGTTAATGACGAAAAGTGGAGGAGTGGAGGTGGTTTCACTTTTTCCATTAAAATTATATTTCCTTGATTTTTTTTATACATGAACGTCTTGCTTTTCAACAGTGAGTGAGACTGTGGTTGGTTGCAGGATCATCTGTGCAGTAACCTAGACGTGACGGAAGATTTGTGCGGAAGAGGTCTGCCACGCCTTTTGGATACCGTGGAAAATCTCTGCCGAATCAAACAGAGTGACCGACGTCTGCCTCCCAAGCCACGGACCCTGCAAGATATCACAGTCTCACTCCTGTTGCTCGCTCTCTTCGTCAGCACCGTGGTGCTGTTGATAATGTTCCCTCCTCCCGATTAGAGGGAAGAAGCTACCACGGGGAAGGTCTAAGGATGCCGTGAGAATTCGGATAAGGCTTTTCAGTTTTTTTTTTTTTGTGTACATTCCGAGAGTAGTCACAGTTGTGTAAGTATATGTCTGGGGAAATGTTCAGCTTCTTCCTTTTCACATGAAAATTCTTATTTTCAAATCATCTAAAAGAACAATTCGTTCAGGCCAGCCTCAACACCCTACACAGTAGGTTAATGGACTGACACCTATCAGAAAATTTATTTCACCGAGTTTAACTGATGTTTTCATTGAATTACTACAAATTTTCCGAAGAAATTAGTTTTACTTATCGTTTCATCACCAGAAAATACTTAATACTTAATTTTGGTTTGCCTAATATTTCAAAATCAGCTAGTTTCGACTTTGGCTTGATATTTTATTCAGTATCAGGTTTTCCAGATAAGTCAAAGTTATGTTTCAACCAGTTTATATGCTAAATACTTATTTTTGTGCTTATCAAGTAAACTTTATCCATCACAGCTAAGAGTAACAGTGGAAATTTCAACTTGGTATCTAGCATTGAAGTTAATTTCAACTTACCCTATATAATAATGAATTGTATTTCAATTTGATAATTTTAGATAATGAAGATATCGATATCATGGTTGAATTGACTCAAAATTATTTTTCAGTCTTTTAAATCTACTGAAAAAGTCAGATATATCTGAAATTAAGATTGTCACCAAGAGTTTTGCTTAATATCGAGATGAAAAAATTGCTTTGATGTTACCTGTGTTTCATATATCAACTTATAAGTTAAGTACGATAAGTTAGATAAGTTCGATACGGTATTATGGTTGAACTGACAACAATATATGTTTATATAAAACAATTTTCAGCTATATAAAAATTAATATCACAATATTGCCTATCCATGGCTTACTATTTATGGAAATGAACTTGAGGGACTACCCACAATTATTCTAAAAGTCTCAGAAAACTGAGTAAGAGAAAAATAGTCGAGTTGAAAGAGGTTTTAGGTGAAAAGTTTTCAGTCTGGGAAGTTAATCTGTATTGATTCATTAAAGAGATAAGTATCGACAAACTGTAATTTATACTTTGGAGAAGTGAATAGTTAGTTCTTTAATCGAATTTGATTCGTTTTGAGTGTAAGTAGAATTAAAGTACTTGAAGTGAATAATGAAATGAATTGAAATTAACCAACTGTACAAGAGAACAAAAAAATCACTTGTCATGAACTGAACCTTACCTATAGAGAAGCTGAATAAATTCCCATTCGTGTACATTAATTTTTCCAGTTGGAGTAATCGAAAACACATTATTTTTGGGATACGAGCAGAACCAGTATTTCGACTACTTCCATTGGAAAACATCTTCACCATGAAACTTGAACATTCCAAAACCAAATGGTATTTTTTAGTATTTCGATTCAGAGTGAGAGGATTAGGTTTGTTGAAATTTAGAGCTTTTATATCGTGAATAAGTTCTAGAGTATTACTTTATGCGTTGTGATTTTCATATTTATCATAATCGTTTATCTCCGCTTGGCATTGCTATATATTCCAAAGTTGATACAGGTCACTCCAGAATATTGGTGCTAAATTATTTGAAAGAAATAGTTTTGAGCTTCCCATCAGTGCGAAAGCAAGAATATCCTCGGTTTATTTGTGTACTTAAATTTACATCGAAGTATTTAAGGGCTGCTATTAGGTGCTACTTCAGTATTTATCGACAGATGTGGAGGAAAACGGGGGGGTTGGAAATTAGATACACAAAAGTTTAAAGGGGGTTACGTTTAGCTTTGAGCTTTGCATACACAAAGTGTTTTGAATCTTCCCGAATTTCAATTAACAAGTTATTCGTCTCTAACCTATATTATCACTATATTACCTGTGTCATACCAAAAAACCGTGAAGCAACCAATTTGCTTTAAATATATGGTCTAGATCTCTTCTCTTCAACTATGACAATCTAGTCAATGAAATATTTTTCCAGTATTAAATATAAAAACAAAGACTGCTGAATGTTTTCAACTGAACTAACTCGTAGCGTTTAAAATATTTTCTTTTATCGTTACTATTTGAAATGCTGCATTACGGAAAAACTTTCCTAGCGGGTTTTGATGTTCCAAACGAAAATTGCAATAAAAACCAGATTTCAATGTTTGTCAAGCATCAAATGGTAACATTCTTCATATCAGAACATCCTTGTGTAAGTATTTTTCAGGTCTCGCAGCCTCACAAATATAAATGAATGTTTAATTTTAGAATTTTCCTGAGAGTTTATATATTTTTTATTTATGTGTTACAGTTTCGTTTTGTTGTAGATTTATAAGCTTTACTAATAAAGTTCTGAAAATATTCCGTCTTTTTGTGAGTCGTTTTGCCAGTTCAGTCGTGGGTATGGTACCAAAAAGAGAATGGTTAGGTTAGGTTCATTATTATAGGTTGTTTTAAGAGTTTTGTCCGTTTTTTTGACTCCACTTCAAACTGTAATATCTCTGTGAATGTTTATTCAATTCAATCGGCAACACAAGTCGATTATTTCCGTCAGCAAAACAAATTGTGCGCTCGGGAGTCGATGACGTCGGCGAAGGCCGTTGTTGCCCGGTCCTGATTGGCCGAGTTGCAGAAAGTTTATAGTGAAACACTCCAGCCGTTGGCCACCATACAGTATCCATGGTCTTTTTTTGGTGAGATTTCGCCTCTGGGAAGTTCCTGCACGTCGGTGTCCAACCACTAACCTGGATGTCTCCTGTTCTCGTAGAAGATCCACTAGCCCCATCTGCCTGTTGGTAGTGCTTGCATTACGCAATGGAAGTCTTCCGAAGCCTTTAGGAATATTCTGGAAGCGACGAGACATCTAGAATGATCAAGAAACACTAGTAGAGTTGAGCGCGGCTTTGACCAAGTTACAGTCCATCGACAAAGACCAGCGGCGGCGACGTTATTTTTTCAGGGGATAAAATACAACATTATAGTGCAGGATAATTAGCCCTTTTGAAATTATAATTTCTTCGGTTGTCATTCGAGCTGAAACTAGTTTAGTTGATGACTCAATAAGTAAAGCTGGATGATGAGGCGTATCTTCAGAAACCAAAGAAGATCTGTCTCTTGTCACCTCGCATTTCATATTGGAAATCTTTCCAAGAAAAATTAAATACATACATAAATATGTTGTTTATGTTATGACTAAAAATTTTGTGAAAAAATTGAAAAAACATTCAAAAAACACTTTAAAATGTGGTATATTTGAAGGAATCTTGATTTTTTTTCACCTTTTGAGCTTATGGCTTGGACCACCTGTATATCTGACCAAGCAGCTAACGAATAAATATTCATTTACCTCTACTTGAAATGAGTAATTTTGTTATAGGACCATAAAGCATTAATTGTTTATAATTTCACATCGCCTGTTACAGAATCTTTTATGTTGCGCTGCTGACGTGCTGGAAGGAAAAGGCCTGGTCCAGGTCGCAGTTACGGTAACGGAACTTCTGCGGTTCCATTCTCCCAGATCTCCGTTGCACTCGAGCTCTATTTCTACTGTGGTGTAAGTGTGATGTAACAAAGCATTTGTTCAATGTATTTTTATATATTCATTTAATTTAATGTTATTTATTCAGTAATTTTCTAGGTTTTTATATATATACGAGAAACATATCTGAATCTATCGAATATTTTTGTTGATAATGCACAAATGATGTCTCAAATTGTACTAGTTATTTATATTTTAGTCGTAGACGTACTTTAAGCCACCAAAAGTTCTAGAAACACTTGAAAACCTGCATGGTGGCTACTTTTGAGGTGTCCCTATTCTTCAGTTTTGAAAAATTGACTTAGAACAATACTTGGTTCGATATAAACGTTTCCTAAAAGACTTGGAATAAAGGTTTTCATTTCCAGAAGTACCAGAACCAGTTTGGAAAAGCTGTAAACCGATATTCGGCTTCAGCAGTTCATTCTTTTTCTTGAACATGACGGTGGGTGTTCTGTAATTCTAACTTGTGGTTTGCATCCAAATAGGCTTATACTGCCACTGCAAATTTATCTCAAACCAATCATGAGGTGTACGGTGCGGAAAATTTAATATACAGACATAAAAATAACTCTGTATTTCAGTAAGAAGACAGGATCGTTGAAAATTGAATAAATTCCGGTTCCCAACTTTGAAAAAATAAAACTATATTTTCACAACCACACCAAGTTATTGAACTAGAATCAATGAAAGCATGGAACACTGTCTGTCATTCACAGAATAGCAACTGACCATAGGACGCGAACAAATGACATGGAATTAGACAAATGTCAACAATTTGACGGTCATATGTAAATATGGCAGAACGATGCGCAAACTAATTTTAGTTATGAACTCTCTCAGATATATGACTTACTTCCTGTTTAGTGCTGTTTTTGGTTTCGAATGTATGAAAAAAATCTAACAATTCTGAAAAGCGAATAGTAATTTTTCGTGTACTTGTGATGCACTGTTTGGAACCTTTGGTGTAACTATGAACATAACTGGAGTTTCATCCCAACATCAAACTGTTATTTTAACACCTTGACACGTGTTTCAATCACCAAGTGATCATATTTTAGAGGAAGATAAAACTTATAGTCAGTAATTTTTCAGTCATTAATGATTGATTTTCATTAATTCTGGTGGTGAAAACTCAAAATCGCTCAGGACATTCCAAGTACCTCAATAAAATATTTATAAAGTTTTATTGAACATAAACAAAAGTGGGACATAATGAAGTAGCTAGCTTGTATAAGATTTCCAAGGGTTCTCATAATATAACACGTCTTTCTCGTTGAAATTTATGCCGACCATCATACAGGGCGAATCAGAATGATACCTACAGAAACTAACTGAAAACTTTCGTCCTCTGAAGCTCCTTAATATTGAGAAATGGAAGTACTTGTTACTTCAAATTGATGTTCTGTGCTGATTGTCACAAATGTTTTGTTCAATAGTTTAGAAACAATTAATTGTAATATTTTGCTATAAAGCCCTGTTGATGAACATAAAAACGCTAAATTTAGCTACATGACTTTCAGTGTGAGGAATCAAATATTTATTTCGATAAGCAGTTTCTCAGTTACACCAGATTTTTCGGCATCTGTATATAGGTATATAGACAATTTTTTCTTTAGATGCAGAATTCGTGGAAACGGGTTATATTATCAGTTTCCTTAGTAGGAAACTGTGGAGCAGTAATTTTCATTTCTATAACATTCTGTAATTTTTTGTGATTCGTCTGATTGATGATTCGAATTCGGTTTTTATTTTGGAAAAACTTGTGACCTCCCAGTGAACCACAGGAAATGTGTCATAATTCTAAAGTGGTATCAATTATAATAGACTTAACTCTCAAAATCGATATCTCTAAGTATATAATCTATTCTAAACGAGTGCCAAAGATTTTCATGTAATTTTAACTTGTGTTCATGTTTTTGATTAAATCTCAATTTTGTTCATAATGGACTAGTACCTACGTTTATTTTCGAGTAGTTTAAATCGTCAGGCGGAAATAGGTAACTAAACTTAGGTTTAATTGAGTAGGAGAATATAGTAAGTTGAATTTGGAAACTATGAAGACTGGGTACTTAGCAAACGGAATACCATCGAATGGTTATTTTTAGGTTTCGATTGTATTTTGTGTGATAAATTGATAATTTTGTGTTTTGTGATAAGGATCATATACATTTATTTTGTTGGTACAAACCGCATAGTTTATGAACTAAATCACGCATCTAGTCAAGTCAGTTTAATAAACAGTACTTTTTTCATTTCTGTAGTTTTTTCATACCCCACCGTTTCCTTCTCGAGATATTAGGTTGTTTCAAATGAATAAACCACGACACAGCAGGATAAATATTCACTGAGATATGGAGCTACAAAAACACCAATAAAACGGACAAAACTTATAGTTATAAAAAATCTGCTTTACTTTTGTTTGAGTTGTACCTTCTGAATGTCCTAATAGATGCAATAATATCGTTTGGCTGTGGTGTATCGCAAGGGTCCGTTTTGGAACCTGTGGTGTTTCTCATTTGTGCTAATGATTTGATCCATGTATTGCACAACAATACCAGCTCAAATTTATTTGATCAGATCAGGCCTGATATAAGAAAAGGAAAGAAATGTTGCGGTTCCAATCTTTCATCCTTCAACATTGACAAAACGAATGTGATTTCGTTCATATGTGACATAGAAGAGGTCAATTGGTAAATGAAAAGTTGAAGGTTTAAAACTCAATGTTTCAGAAGGCATGGAAATCATAAGAATCAAGAATTCGAAACATCTGCTCAGTAGCCAGGCAGATTTTAATCATTATCTTCTGTTGAGTTCATGACTTCTATCCCTACTCTTAAGTTATAGTTCAGTGGCTTCCCCAGTCTGTTAGTAACCACATTAAATACGTACATCGTACTGCTATCGCTCTCTGGTGGTCTGGGTAGGTACTACACATTTCAGGATGCACTAAAATCTTACTTATGAGCTTCTATGGGCTTTGTATTCTATGACCACTCACAAGGAAAAAAATACTATTGAATAGCATGACAGGCAATGCTAAACCTCAATCACATCTGTTCTGTGTTCGGTATTTACGAGAACGAGGAAAAAATGTGTTCGGTTGACTCTGAAATCAACATTACGATCACAGAGAGTTTTCAGTAGTCAAAAAAATGACAGTGCTGTTGTAGAAAAAACGTCATCAATCATGTAATGGAGGGTTTGTGATGAAAATTATACCAGCAATGCCGACTTGTCATGCGGATAGAATTGAGCATTCAATTAAATATATTGCTCCTTCGACTCTGTATCACGTGTTATCAAATCTGCTCGCTCGGCTCCAGATTTTCAAAAACGAATACACCTAATGCCTCATGATTAGGTGAACTGTCAAAATAAGCTGTTCTATCCAAAAAGGATGGTTATGTTTAGGAGCACAGAACACTGAAAACTTGTTTTTGTAATCTGTGATCTGTGTCACTCTGTGTTCAGTTTCAATCTGGCACATAAGATTGCGATTATTCAGTGAGTCTCACTAATATTTTTGTCAGTTTTTCTAAGTGGTGTTGTGTATATTTCACTTTTCTGCTATTCCTGTAGAGATAAACCAAAGGGTGACATTTAATGCTGCTTCTTCTGCCAATCTAGTTGTGTGGAAAATGTCTGTCGTTTTCGAAAATATCCAGTGTCCCTTGACCTTCATATTTTCAACTTTGGATATTGACAAGAGTTAGATTTCAACCAATTTTTTACAGCTTTGTCATGCACTGACAAATATTACTCCACAAATTTGCTTTCTCCACAATAAAAACAACAAATGAAAATAAAGTCTTTATTCACTTTCTAAAATAAGCTCATTTCAGAACCGTCAACGCTGCCTCATATCTCCTTTCTGATACCGCCAACAAAATAAAACTCAATAATAACAGTATTCCTAAAAAAAAAGGTAGGAAACAAATTGAAAGGTTGCAAAAATGTGAACCTCTGTGAATAAAGGGATCCCTCCCTTAAATAACACATTTGCAGGTTACATAAAAAAGTACTAAAGCCTCAAATAGAGATCGAGTATTTCAAAGGCATTGCTTACAGCCATTCCAAAGGCCTCCTGATCTGTTTTTCCAAATCCAATGGTTGTGAATGGCGAATCACTATTAACGACAAGGCATATGACAGTAGGCTTGTCCTGAATGACGCGGCTTGTAAATTTGAGACCAATCTTATCGAGAATCCTTGCTAGTGCTTCCACAGTTCTTTCCTTCAAATCCTGAAAGACAAAATCCATGTTTTCCAATCAAATGCATTTCTGACGTGTTCTTACTTCTTCGAAGTCATCGATGGATTTTTCGTATTCATTCATTTGTTTTTTGAAACAGTTTGCAAAGTCCGAGACTTTCACAGTTTTATCGATAACCACATCGTCAAACAGTTCTTCGTACCTCCCAATAGCCTTTTCAGTGGATTCTATCGATGGGAGGGCCAGGAGGGTGTCTTCTTTACGAGGGTAGTTTTCTACCAGCTCTGGTAAAACATCTTTAATCCTAAGAAAAAAATGGCAAAGTGAGTTCAAATAATAGTGTAGTTTTAGATACACTTGAAATCGTGGAAATAAAAAAATTATTTCTTCAATCTTTCAGCAATTTACATATTTTATAATGTTTATCAAACAAGAAACTGAAAATAAGCCCTCTTTCTTGAGCCTACTTACCATAACCTCATTTTTCATCAAGGTGATATTGTAATATTCGTTTTAAAACATATGTAGAAATAATTGGGAATTCAAAATCAGATGCCAGAGCCATGGTGGCAGATGTACAGAACACAGATGTGTACATTGAATCTATGTTATGTTTCCGTTTCTCCGGCGAGGTAGACGGACGCGTAGCGCTTTTCTCATCGCCGAGGGAACGGAAGCTCATTCAGCCATAAACACGTGCAAACAACAAATAATTAAAGGTGTAGTGAAAGTTTCAATCGTTTGTGCATCAATAAGGAGTGCAATAAGACTTCTGCACTCACAGAACGTTCCCTTATTGTATATTACACAGCGGGAAGAGAAGAGAGCTGGCCATATAGCAGGAAGCTGAGGCCAATAAACTAAGGAAGATGAGAATCTAGGTTATACTCCAATGTTTCTTCAACACCTGTTCTTAACTATTCTGGCCATTTTTTTGGACTGTCTTAAATTATGTGGATTTTCAAAGATGTTGACACTAGTTTCAGTTTCCGAAACTTGGGGTCCTATGCTATTTGTTGACATATTTTTATATATACCAAATAAACTTTTTTTCATTCTTTCACAATCTTCATTATGAAAACAGATATTTTTATTCGAATTCGTATAATCAGCAGACAAGAACAAAAAAAAAATTTAAATTGTTAAAAAATTAGCGATAACCAAAATAACGGATTTCAGTAAAAATTTTAACCGATGGGGGCGCTAGTGTCATCAACAGATAATGAAAATAAACGGAAAACGGCTGATTTGAAACATATGTTCATTATTTTAGGATCTACCATGTTTCGAGATGCTTGATTGCAAATTTATGGAAGTTGCGTTTTTTTAATTAGTAAAAGTTAAAACATAAGAAATCACAACGTGGTGTAGTATATGCACATCTAATTACTGAATACAGAAAACATAACGACTCACTTTGTCATCATTTCTTGTGCAGCTATTTGTTTTGCCATTTTTTTGGTATTAGCTGTGGCAACAGTTGTGATGGAGGCAACTTTGCATTCATAAGTAAACTCTCTGCAATGCGGCGGACCCACATCCGATCTGAGTGTGAAAATGGGATCTGGGATTTTGTTTTCTGCACACATATCTTTCAAAGGTCCTGAAAATATAAATTATTAACCCAAGTTGTCACCGTCAAGACAAGTTCTCGCTGGGGTACATTAATAATATACTTCATTTATTTTTCAGATCCATGACAATGGATTTGTAAGACAGACATTTGTTGGAATCTACAGCTATTGTTACATTACTGTAAGATTATCAGAAATAGTCTGATCTGGCATCCTTCATAAAGTAAAAGAAAACCAAATGTCCCAATACAGAGCCTCGAAGTACACCACGATCAATTTGTTCTAGGCAACATTGATATACTGATATACTTACCTATGCAATTGGGAGAACGTTTAAAGGGGCTACCAGGTGGGGCATAAGATGTTGCCACTTTAAACTCCTGAACGGGAATCTCGGATGGGTTATATATGTTCAAGTCCTTCAACTTAGCGAGTGCGTTTTGAGCTGCATCATGTTTTGCTATCTGTTTCGAAGAGCCAGTCCCGAAAGCCTCTATCCCTGCAGCTCTGACCACGTAATCGAATCTGTTGTCGTGAGTTCCACTTCGACAGTTTGTTATCTCGTAAGTTGGGGGTGCTAAAGCCAGTTTTACGGTCAGTTCTTGCAGCACCATGGCTGGAGTCTTGGTATTTTTCGCCATCTGGACGTTTGTGCTTGAATAAAAAGCAAATGAACTGTTATTAGAAATCAACAAAGTCCACACTTATTGAATAATAAAGCTTAATACATTTTTTTGGCAACCGCCCGAGTGACTAGTAACCCCGTTTTTTATTCTTCTTCTTCTTTTTCCTTCAATGGTTTCAGCTACCAGGGCTATCCAGCCAGGAGTTCCAGAGTCATGTTGCTAATACAGGTGGAGCCCACACTGAAGTGGAGCCCACACTGAAGTGGATCTAAGTCGGACCCAAACCCCACCTGAGTTTGCGCTAAAATAAAGTTCAACTGTAATTTAAAGTCAATTAACAAGCGATGTCCGACTGTAAACACTAATGTGAGGTGATGCACTACGGTTACGTGTATGGGCAATACGATCATGTCATTATTGGCGAAACACTGCATGCGCATAACTATTAGGTCTGTCTTGGTCACTACAGCTTTATATTGGATGCAATCAAGAATTTGGATATGGTTTGTATGTTAGATGGTGATATATGTTTGAAAACGATTTCGTGGAAGGTAATTTGATTAAGAATTAATGCTAATTTCATTCATAACTGAACAGAAAAAAGAATACGGGTTCACAAAATTTCGAGGGCATTATTGCCGTAAGATGACAGTAAAAAAACTCAAGAATGCATATATTTTTTTGTACCCGTCATTAATAATAAATATACTGAAATGAATCATTCTTTTATCTTTTCATGTAGTGACAGACTAATCTGTTAATTAATAATCTGAAATTCCTATTTCAAAATTTAAATTTGAAGTTCTGCCAGAGTGGAGATTTTTAGATTTTCGAGTTTATACAACAAAAGCACTTTTTATGTAGAGGTGATGACGACAATATTCATTAATCAATTATCTTCGAGCCGCTGTGTCCTAATTTGTTTTCATTTTCACATATTCCGAGTAAATGGGAAATTGATAAAGGAAAAAGTAATTAATTGATTTCCTTTTTATTGCTTGCCACACTTTGGTATATAAACAGTACAAAAATAGCATTTTCAATAAACTGGAGATACACTCATGTGGTTTGCAAAAAAGTGTTATATATTGGCAATTTCACAAATAACATTTAGTTCAGAGTGATCAACCGACAAAGAGTAAGAATCACCGCATTTAAAAAATGATATACAGGATACAGATAGGGTTTCCAGAAAAGTAATTTTTTCATGTGAAGAACCTGAGTTTTGGTTTTGATTATTCAAAACTATTCTATTCTATTTTATCGAAGTATATTGCATCCAAACATTTTGCATTATACCAGGTCTGTTCAAAAAATAAGTTGAATTTTCATTTTTCTCAAGAAATATTTATTTATTCATCACTTTCTATTTTGTCCATTTCAAAGTAGTCCCCCCTCAGATGTAATACACTTGTGATGCAAGAACTTCTGAGGCACTACGCCACAGTTATCAAAGAAAACAATGATCAAAACCGTTCAGGCCGAGCGTTCTTTCATTCTCCTTCAGGAAGTTCTCCCACTTTGGCCAATATAAGTTTTTTTGACAAAAACCATGAATCATCTTTTCGACACTAGAGCTCGTAATTGGTTTCTCGGCAAATTTCCAGGAGTTTTTTCATTGATAAAAAAGGGAGAGAGCCAAAGGAATGGGGAAAACCCGTAAATGCCAGGAATATACCGAGAACCTCAACAATTGACTTACTTCCAGATGCTCAAATGGTTAATCATGTATGTTAGAGATAGAAAATAGCTTATCGGGTTTCCCAAATTGCGCGTCCAGGGGCGCCACAAAGAAAAAAAATTGTAGAATATTTTATGAAGCTGATTTTATAAGTTGTGATTATTTCATTTATCCAATCGAAAAAATGTAAAAATGTATAAAACATTTTTTATTGACATCGCCTATATCGATATGATTAAATTTTCCATTTCAAGTACTCCATTTTACGATAAACAAAAATTTTCACAAGATCTGCAAACATTTGTGATACGTTGTTAATCATTAGGTATGCCAGAAATAATCTATTTCACAGCTTTTTATCGACGGATTTATGAAAATTTTTACTCTAACAACTGTACTAAAAGTTCACTCATCTCAATCACAATTACGTTATTTAATTAATACTCGCGCGAATGATTAATTATCGCAGACGTGCCTACGTGCATTTTCATTAGATTAACAAGTCGAATAACATAGAGAAACATTTACTTATTAAAGTTGATAATCACGCATGGAACATTGTATGATTTCACGATTGCGTTTTTTATGAAGCAAACATTATGTTTTGCGTTAAACGCAACCCCCGCATTACAAGATTCTTTGTAGATATACAAACACTTGTTGCTTTCAAAGCGAATGATAATCAAGTCGCATTACAACTCCACTGACTCTTATAATGTTGAAATTTTCAATCAGTCTTCACCTAAACTCAGGTAATGTTATATTATACAGTGTAGATGTAATTACCCCCCCTCCGCACTATTTACTTTTGAACAAGGCAAGATATCAAAGTGATATATGATTTTCTAGACACTTCTTCTTCTTCTTATTCTCTTTTTGTATGATCTTTGCTTTATTGACACTGAAAACGGGATTTTTTTACAGATATCATACTGTCCTAGAGGAAAATGTCTGCATATATTTTGAACGCTCTTCTCTTCAGGATATTGTTACCAATCATCATAACGTCATGTGAGTATAATATGTACATGCCAGTGAAACATTTTTTAAATACCTTTTGCTTTTGTTTTCGATAGCATGTCTCAATCTATATGCAGAAAAAATCGTTTATTGTCAAAAAAAACCTTTTTTGACGCTTTTTCTTTGAGAAAGTAGTATTTTTCCGGCCTAGTCCGGTAAGTACTTATTTCCCGTACTAGGCCGGTAAGTATCACATTGTTGTTGTCACTGTGAATATGAAAATCTTGGCAGGAATGGTTTTGATGAATGTAGTTCATCATTACCATGGTCGCAGTATAACAACTGTTAGCTGTTTGACTTGGAATTAGTTGACATTTTAATTTTTGAAAGTTTGCATACTTTTTTCGCAATTAACGCAATAAACTATGGAGAGCTGCAGCGATGGCGAGTTTGTATATGTGTCTTATAAAATTTCCAATGCTGCGGCTGCTGCTAAAGCACAATTATTGCCAGGTACGGAAACGTTCAAGATTTGTTCTCGAAATGGATGGACATGAAGAAATACAAAACCATTGCAAATTATGTAATTTAGGCTTATTTGGCGCAAAAATCTGAAACTGTCAAATCCTCTACCTTGTGGAGCATGCTAACCGGCTAACTCACCGACTGACTGACTCACCCATTCACTGATTGACTGACTTGACCCACTGACTGTATGCCTGACTGATTCACTGACTGTCTGCTTGGCTTAAAATCTGGCTGCCTAACTCACTGTTTGACTGATTGACCCACCGACTGACTTACTCACTGTTTGACTGACTGATTCACTGACTGACTTACTCACTAACTGACTCACTGACTGACTCACCTACTCACTGACTGACATCGGATAACTCAATGTGTGAGTCATTGACTGGCTCGCCGACAGACTGACTCACAGATTCACTGACTGTCTGCCTGATTGACTCACTGACTGTCTGCTCGACTGAAAATCTGACAGCCTAACTCACTGTTTGACTGATTGACTTACCGACTGACTGATTCACCGACTGACTTACTTACTGACTGTCTGACTCCCTGTTTGACTGACTGATTCACCGACTGACTTACTCACTAACTGACTCACTGACTGAATGACTAGAGAATCGTAGCAATCGGTTTTACGTGCAGACTGACTCACAGATTCACTGACTGTCTGCCTGACTGACTCACTGACTGTCTGCTTTACTGAAAATCTGACAGTCTAACTCAGTTTGACTGGTTGACTCACCGACTGACTTGCTCACTGACTGCCCGACTCACTGTTTGACTGACATTCACCGACTGACTTACTCACTGACTGTCTGACTCACTGTTTGACTGACTGATTCACCGACTGTCTGACTAACTGTTTGACTGACTGATTCACCGACTGACTTACTCACTGACTGTCTCACCTACTGACTGACTGACTCACCTACTGACTGACTCACCTACTCACTGACGGACATCGGATTACTCACTGCCTGACTCACTGATTGACTGACCAACTGACTCACTGATTGACTGACTGACTCACTGATTGACTCATCGGCTGACTCAACTACTCACTGATTGACTCACTGACTGACTGCCTCACCGACTAGTTGATTGACTCACTAACTGACTGCCTCACCGACTAGCTGACTGAGGGACTCACCGACTCACTGACTGACTCACTGACCAGATAGCTAACTATCTCTCTGACTGACTTACTGACTGACTTACTCATCAACTGACCCACCGAGTGATTCACTGATTGACTGACTGACTGACTCACTGACTGAAAAAATGACATACCCACTGACTGACCCACTCACTGGCTGGCTGGTTGACTAACTGATTGAATGACTCACCGACTGACTGACTCACTGACCGACTGGCTGACTGACTGACCGGAAAGAGAAATCGCACAGCTGCTTGCGCATGGCGAGCCGTCGCTGTAGGATATTCGACAATTCAGTTACACACAAAATTAAAATTGCCAAGACCATTCGAAAATTATAATTCATGAGAATTTGTGCCGTCAATTCTATGCGTATTCTAAATAACATAAAGTTTGTTTTTTCGCGTGTCTCTTATCATTGAAATTGTTGCATATATTCCGTTGCATGGTACTGATACGCTGGGCGATTAGGTTATCCAGGGTAAGATATGGCAATATATTTCATCAACAGAAATTGACAGTAATTCAAAAGCACTTGACGTTTAGAAATAAAAAAATTGTTTTAGTTTTATGATACTGTTAAAAAAATGAGGCGACTGTTCAAATTTCGCGGGATACGTCTCGAACATATGTTAACAGTTTCTGCTGTTTAGTGTGTTGGTGAGAGGCATAAAAGTTAGGCGTTTTGCGTATCCGGCGCCTAGCCACCGTATTCACTAGATTTGGCCTCCTGCGACTTTTTCGTGTTTCCGAGATTGAAGAGTCTTATGAAAGGACGACGTTTTGTGACGATCGAAGACATAAAAACCGAATCGCCCTGTACAGTC